GCAGCGGCACATGCTCTCGCTCTTCCATGCGATCTATGAGTTCTGCAGGCGCTCGCGTGACAAGCGGCAGCCACTCTGGTCGTCGGTGAGGCGGGAGCTCTCCTGGTTCAGAGCGCTACTTCCCTGCGTGACAGTCTCGCTGAGTCGGCCCTGGTGCGAACGTGTCACTGCCACCGACGCCTCGCCATGGGGGTTTGGCGTCGTGGAGCAGCCGTGGCCCGTCAGTGAAGTTCGGCGAATTGGCAGCCTCTTTGAGCGCAGCCGCTTTAGAGGGGTCCTGACAGCCGACTACGCCCCCAGGGACACGCTGGTCGAGCAGCAGCTCCTGCACGCCTCGGCGGCCGACGTCACCGCGGAGGGCACCTTGACGCACTTCGAGGAGGTGCCTGCAGCGCGACTCTTGGCCGACCCTTGGGCGGTCGCGGCCGCGCGCCGCTGGCGGCGGGCCGCGGCCATCCACGTCCTGGAGGCTGTGGGAGCGCGCTGGGCTGCGCGGCGCCTTGCTCGCAATTCGCAGCTGCACGGACATCGGCACCTCATCCTGGGCGACAACCTCGGGGTGGTGTGCGCATGTGAAAAGGGCAGAGCGGCACACTTTGCTCTCAATGTCGTCTGTCGGGAGATCTGCGCCATCGCAATCGCCTCCGGGATGCAGCTCAGGTTCAGGTGGATCCCATCAGAGCTCAACCCTGGAGACGCTCCCTCTCGCAGGTTCATGCCAGGCGCGGGGAAGCACCATGTCGTCGGACACTGCAGTACACCCTCAGGCGTGGATGAGCAAGGCACACAGCAGGCTGGGCCTCTATCCGGAGCCATCGGCTCGAGGGAGCACAACCATGCCAGTGACGGCCTACTGGGTCAACCCCGTCTACGGCAAGCGCGCCCGCGATGCAGCGGAGCCCAGGCCGGCGCCGACCACCCGGCGCGCCTCCGGCTCGCGCGGCGGGCACGGGCTGCCAGGCCCTTCGGGCTCCCGCCGGGGCTGGACATCCCCAGCGCCGCTGAGCGACAGGCCCGCAGAGGTCTGTGCGCGACGGGCGCGGCTGTGTCCGCGGCTCTCGCGACTGGCGGCTCGCCGGGTGCGACACGCCACCGAGCTCTCGTACCTGCGGGCGCTGACCATGCTCTTGGGCTGGCTACGGCTGCTGGCGCTGCCGAGCTGGACCTCCGCGCAGTGGGACGAGACGCTGGTGGACTACTCCGAGTGGGCCCCCGACCGCGGCATGGGCCGGGAGGCGTTCTCGCGCACCATCTGCGCCGTGGCTTGGGGAGAGCCTGCGCTGGGAGGTCCCGTGCGGCGCCTCTTTCCCGCGGCGCACGCGTCGCTGTCAGGCTGGACGCGCCTCCAGCCGGGACATTCCCGCCCTCCATTGCCGCAGGCGCTCGCCCTCGCGATGGCGGCCGTCCTGGTCTCGATGGGCAAGCCGGACTCGGGTCTGTGCATCTTGGTGGCCTTCGAGTGCTACCTGCGCCCGTCGGAGGCCGCGACCTTGCTGGCCAAGCAGCTGCTACCAGGCAGGTGCAACGAGGTCGGGGTGCTACAGTACCCTCTCCTGATCCTGCATCCAGAGGAGCTCGCTACCAGCTCCAAGACGGGCGAGTTCGACTCCACAGTTGCGTTCGACCTGCCTCGACATCACTGGATTGGGCGAGCTGCCGTGCGGCTGCAACGGCTTCGACGCGAGGACGAACTCCTGTTTCAGATCTCGTACCATCAGCTCCTGGCCGACATCCACGCTGCCTGTCAGTACCTCAAGCTCGAAGGTTTGGGCTTCTCGCCGCGCTGCCTGAGGCACGGCGGCGCGACTCACGACCGCGCCGCAGGTTGCCGTTCACTGCTGGAGGTACAGAGGAGAGGAATGTGGAGGGCGGCGTCATCTGTTCGGAGGTACGACAAGGCCGGGCGACTGGCGCTGGTCATGCGGAACCTCAGCCACGCCCAGAGGAGAGGCTGCGAGGTTTGGGCGGCAGCCGCCCCGCGGCTCTTCGACAACGCCTACGTGCTGCCCTCCGCGCCGGCCGCCTTGGCGAGCGGCGGGCTTTCCTCGACCCCTTCTCAGGCTCGGGTGGCCTCGCCGCGGAGCTGAAGAAGAGGGGGCATGCTGTTGTTTTAATCGACGTGCTTCTAGGGCCCGAATGCGATTTGCTCCAAGATGATGTCTTTCGCACTCTTCGAGGCTGGCTTGAGTCGGGCATCATCTGGGGCATGTTTTCAGGCAGCCCGTGTGGAAAATTGTCTCAGGCTCGCAGGGCTCCGCCGCGCAGTGTCATGCCTCGACGCTTGCGAACTAAGGAGCACCTTCGAGGCCTTCCGAACTTGGAGGGGGCCGACTATCACGATGTCGTCACCTCAAACAAGCTGGCCGACCGAATCGCTCTTCTGCTCGGCATCGCCCTGAGACGCCAGCTGCCAGCGGGAGAGGAAAACCCTGCGTCCAGTCTGCTGTGGCTGCTCCCCAGCCGCCAGCGTTTCCATTCTCACGCTAATGTTCAGACAGTGGTCTTTGATTATTGCGGCGCTGGCCGCCCTTTCCGAGCTCGCACTCGTATGGCTCTCGCCAATATATCCGCTCCGCCAGAGCTGTACACTTGGCACTGTAAAGGTAGGGGGGTCTGCACGTTTTCTGGCAAGGAAGGCCGGCTTCCTTACTCATCTTAAGGCGTCCTACCCCCCTCGCCTGTGCTTTGTGCTCGCTCGAGAACTTTCTCACAGCTACGTGTCCCTGCGGGCCAGCCGCCTATGGAATTTGATGCGGTAATCCAGTACATTGCTTGAAGACGGGGCTTTGATTCATGATGATGGGTTGTGTGGGGCAAACTGCCCACGCGACATGTTGTCTTCGCCTCAGCATTTCTCTGGAAAACAAGAATGAACATAGCAGTGCACGGTATTGTTCATTTCAGATGTCCGCTTTCCTTGCTTTGTAGCCATCGCTTCTGCCCTCGCCAGCCCAAAGCCTATTTAATTGTAGCGTTCTCTGCGGGTTGTGTGGGGCAAACTGCCCACGCGACATGTTGTCTTCGCTTCAGCATTTCTCTGGAAAGCAAGAATGAACAACATTGGTCCAAGAGGGGAGCATGTCGCCCCTGAGGTCGCCAACAGGCCCCCGAGAGACCCCGAAGGGGCTCCAAGAGGCCCCCCAAAGGCCCCCAAGAGGCACTCAAGAGGCCCCAAGGCGGCCTGCTGGAGATCTCGGGGGTCTCCTTGGGGCGGAGGGCTCGAAATCTCTGTTCGAGTTCTCCACCTTGGGCCCCTCTTTGGACCCTCTTGGGGCCCTTCTGGGCCATCTTGGGCGCCCTCTTGGGCCATCTTGGGGCTCTCTTGGGGGCATCTTGGGCGATCTTGGGAGCCTCCTTGGCCGTCCTGGACGCTGCTAGAGGCGAGGATGTGCGTTTTGGCACGAATTTTGCCTCTTGGGGCCGAGTGGGGTGCTCTTGGGTCTCAGGCTCGCGGGGCATCGTGTGGGCCAGTTGGGCCAACTTGGGGCCACATGGGGCCGTCTTGAAGCTGTGCTGGACCCTTCCTGTGCTTTCTTTGGTTATCTGCGGCAGTTCTTGAGACACTCCCGAGTCTCCTGGCAGCTCCTCAGAGCACCGGGCAGCTCCCAGGGGCTCCCAAGAGACGACGAGGAGGAGGAGGAGGAGGAGGAGGAGGAGGAGGACGAAAACGATGATGGTGATGATGATAACTATGGTGATGGTGACGTTGACGGTGGTGGTGGTGGTGGTGGTGGTGGTGGTGATGATGATGATGATGATGACGATGATGATTGTGGTGGTGATGGTTATGATGATGGTGATGATGGTGGTGATGGGTGGTGGTGGTGATGATGAGGGTGTCGAGGAGGGTTACGATGTTCTGAATGGCGTCGGTGACGATGATGGTGACGATCAGGACCTTGACATTTATAGTGATTATGACTCCTTCAGCTCTTCGATGCAGCGGCCGCACTCGCTTGTGGACCCACTGCCCAGAATGCGCTAGAACTTGAGCGCGTGCAAAGCGTGCGCGATGGTTCTTGTTGATAATGCTCCAGCACATCGAGAAGTCCCGTCCCTCCCGAAGAGTGTATCTTCGCTAAGAGTAAGGAGGATGGGAGGGCTCATAGTCATCATGAGTATTGTTATGATCATCGCCATGAGGATGATCAGCATGATAATCGTAACGGTGATCATCATTCTGATCATCACCAAGATCGTCACCATCATATTGACAGTTGCCAATGCTGTGCCCATGTACGCGATGAATACGGCCATGGTTGGCACCGACCGCTGAACCATGTTAAACCATATTGTCCCACACGTCAATCACGTGAACGCGCGTCACCTAGCGCGCGCACAGTCCCATATGTCCCGTGCGACGCGCTGCAAGGAACTGCATTTCTACAGCAGTATTGTGTCAGTGTTCGTTGGTGCCTTGTTGTACGACATCGCAGTAGGATGAGACCATGGGTTTTTAAGCCGCCCCCGCTGTCATTGCGATATGATGATATTATTCGTGGGCACTGCGTGTGCTCTTGCCAATGAGCTGGACTTTAGTAACTCTTTCCCGTTATCTCCCCTTTGTGGATTTTCAAGCTTTGGCGCCAGAGTCATAGTTCGTCAACCCCGGTTCCGGTGTTTCTGATTCCTTCGAATTAGACCCTGCGCCCTTAGGGCTGCTTCAGCCTTCCGAAATAAACGATCACGACATGTGGCAACATCGGAGAGGTTCGGCACCAGGTTTAGTTCCTGAGAGCCTCTCCTAGCCTTACATGCCTACGTGTTCACTCTTTGCTTAGCGATGCAGTGCAATCATGTCTTGCTGGGCTGGTTCGCTCAGTGGTTCGGTATCACGGTTCAGATCGTGTGCGAGGTGATGGGTGAGAATGGCGTGGGGTGTTTTCATTGGCAAATGGTGCAGAGGGCGGGAAGAGGCTGTTCTTTAGAGCGAGGAGAGCGAGGTCGCAATGCGGGCGGCGTAAGAGGAAGACCCTTGCAGGGAGCTTGGAGGAGGGCAGGAGAGTACATCCGCGACAACATCTGCTTCGGCCTTGGTGTGGAGAAGGGCCAGGTGTGCACCCAGTCCAATTTCCTGGGTGTCACCCAGGACACCAGTCCCCCAGCGAGCAAGATGACGATGGCGTGGGAGGGTCTCTCGGACTTATCGAGTGCGCGAAGGGGGAGATGGAGAACTGGAACAGGGGCAACGAATGTGCAAGATGGTGATCGTTTTTTTATTCCTTGTGTTGCCGATCGGCGCGGGCCCCCCCCTCCCCCCCCCTCTGGAGTGGATCTTGGCTGTTGTTTGGCGCCTGTTTCGAGCGGGTGGAGTCTCCCCCAGATGCAGCACTCTTGCAAACAGTCGCACTAAGCAGAGGTCCAGAGCCAGCCCCCCCTCACCCCCCCTTCCGCCCAATGTCGAAACGCCGAATAAGAAAACGTCGACACGTGCGCGCTGCGATCCGGGGTCCGAGGGCGCGCCGCGGGCCTTGCCCCCCTCGCTGTCGTCTGTTGCGATGCCGTATATTTTGCTCCCTGGCAGCTCGCTCCCCAGATCACGTGGGCCCCGCTCCCGAGGAGGAGGAGGAGGAGGAGGAGGAGGAGGAGGAGGAGGAGGAGGAGGAGGAGGAGGAAGGAGGAGGAGGAGGAGGGCAGGAGGAGGAGGGGAGGAGGAGGAGGAGAGGAGGAGGAGGAGGAGGAGGGAGGGAGAGATAGGAGGAGGAGGAGGAGGAGGACGAGGAGGAGGAGCGAGCGGGGAGCGGGGGATGTTTGACACCCGGGGCCAAGGGGGGCAACGCGCTGGCGCCATGCGGGGCGACGCGCCGGCGCCAGGAAGGAGGGGGCCACTCGCTGGCGCCAGGGGGTGCGAGGCGGGGGCTCCTCCTCCTCCTACTCCTCCTCCTCCTCCTCCTCTTCCTCCTCCTCCTCCGCCTCCTCTTCCTCCTCCTGCTCCTCCTCTCTCCTCCTCCTCCTCCTCCTCCTCCTCCTCCTGCCCTCCTCCTCCTCCTCCTCCTCCTCCTCCTCCTCCTCCTCCTCCTCCTCTCCTCCTCCTCCTCCTCCTCCTCCTCCTCCTCCTCCTCCTCCTCCTCCTCCTCCTCCTCCTCCTCCCCCTGCTCCCCTCCATCCTCTCTCTGGTCAGGAGTCGAAGTACCCCTTCATCGAGCTGCCCTTCGACGGCGTCTTCGGCCTCGGCCCCGGTCGGCGGCGGGGAGCGCCCGGTCGGCGCGCCTGTGCGGCGGAAGCCACACGAAGTTCGGAGGCGGAGGCAGGGAGGGGTGGAGGGGGGGAGGGTCCGATTCCTGCGCCCCAGTACCAATCTCGGCCGATTGGGCCCAATTCTGGCCACATGCGGAACTGACCAGTACTAGTACGTTTTCTCGTGCACACAAATTATGAGGAGTTTGACTTCTGACTGTCAGCTTCGTTGGGGTCAACAGATTACAGCACCCCTGCCAGCCTGGTGAATAGGGCCCGCGGGCCACGAAACCTTGTTTCGAAACTACGCGCGACGGAGAACGGCGCGTGACCGCCATGGACAAGTAGAAACCACGCGCCGCGTCCAAGGCGGAACTGGAGGAGGAGGAGGCGGAGGAGGAGGAGGAGGAGGACCATAATAATCCCGAGATGCATCAACGATGCTGCAATACACCGTCTCGTCTCAAGTCACCTCCTCATAAGCCCCATACAAGCAATCGTTTTCACTACAAGAAGCGCCCCCTCGAAGGGTCAGCACCTTTTGGGTCTGCTACGGAACCGCTTTCCATCCGTGTAATTGTTGGGAGCTTGTATGACGAATGTGCGTGGCGCTCAGGCGACAACGGCATTTTGAAAACGATCCTTCTCCATCCCTTAACAGTCGGAACGTTTAAGACGAGTGATCGCGGCGAAACGGCGAGAGCCACATTATGACCCCCTCATTACCCGATTCAAGTGTTTGAGATGTTTGAGACGTATGTGCGTAGCGTCTAGGCGAGGACGACATGTTTCATCGATCCCCATCTATCCGTGTAAGTGTAGTGGACTTTTGAGACGAATAAACGCGGCGAGAAGGCAATACTCATATTTTGATCCCTCCCTCCATCCGAGCATACTGCTGGAAACTGTTAAGACGAACGTGCGCGGCGATAAGGCGAGAACAAGACGTTGAAAATTGCCCCATCTATCCGAGTGAACTTTTTTCTGAAACTTGTAAGACGAATGCGGGCGGCGCCAAGGCGAGAGCTACATGTTGACCCCTTTTCTCCATCCGTGTAACCGTTGACATGTGTAAGCTTCGGGGTTATCAACCGAGAGGAAGTCTCAGGCGAAACGTCCGCCCGCCCTAACGACACGTCAGGTGACCGGACGGGGAGGATTTACCTTTAAGGAAACGGATTGAGGAGGAGGAGGAGGAGGAGGAGACGGAGGAGGCGGAGGAGGAAGAGGAGGAAGAAGAGGGAGAACGAGGGGGAGTGTTGGCCATGTGGCCAGAGAGGCAATGCGAGGATATATGAACTCCCAGCGCCGCGTCTTTCCCCGTGGGCGCTGGAGCACGGGCTCCCCTGGTGTCGCGAACGCTGTCATGACTCAGTGTGCTCGGAGCGCAGCTCGGCATTGCCTGTGCGCGGCGTGCCTCGCATTTCCCCACTGAGCTGCCTGCACGCCTTTGGTTGCGAGTCGCTCTTCGAGTCGCACCTTCCTGCGCTACTCTGACTGTGAATCCCGCGCCCGTTGCATGAGAAGCTTGCGACGCCGATAGGCCCAATCTTCTTATCTCTGCCTTGCGGGTCGTGGCCGTCAATCGTGCGCTCTTGTCTTCGAGCACGGTGGCCACAGCCGTGCGGATGGCTGGGAGATCCACGGACACTTTTAAACGCGGCTCGGGATCATCTGGCGACTCGGGATCATCTTGCGGCAGCACGAACGCCAGGGACAATGTGACCATGTGGCGGCGTAGCGCGACTTCTGCCTGAGCAAAGCAGATCATGTCCCCCCTTTCCCTCCCGAATCCGTGTGTTCTGAGCGTGTGGCCAGCAGTAGATCGAGCTGCGGCAGTGCTGCACACCGTGCTAGGACTGCTCTTCTAAGCTGGGCAGCGCTCGATGGGGCTTTGGCCGGCCGGTCGGACCGGCACGCGATATTCGCACGTGTATGTGTGCACGCGCACGCTGATGTCTACAAGTCTGCGTGCATACATGAACTCGCGCACAGGTGTGCGAAAACGGTTTGCGTTTCAGTGTGCATGTACGTGCATCTGACAATGCAAGTGCACGCGTAAGTGCATATGTATCGTGTACGTAGTAACGCGAGGTCTGTGGCGCATAATTTATGTAACGTTTGCTCGCGCGTCCGTGGGAATGCAAGTGTGTGCCCAGCTGTGTGTGCGCAGGATGTGTTGTTGTGCGCATGCGTCTGCGTCGTCGTGTTAGCAATGCTTATATTCATTGCTGTCTGCATGTGTGCACGCGTGCTGGGGCAGAGTCATATGCGTATCCTTGTAGACACGCATGTGGCCCCTGTGCTTATATGTGAATCATGATCTGTACGAACTTGTAAGAGTCTGTGCGCGTGGAAGTGCATGAACAGATTGCGGCGACTGAGAGTGTCAGTGCTTCTCTCGTTCCTAATATCCTACTTCTTCTGAGGCCTGGGCCTAGCTGGCCTTTCCACTGGGCCGAACTTCAATTTCGTCAACAGACTTAAGGGGAATGGCTCGAAGGTGAGCGTGACCGTGCCCTGTTACAGCAGTGTGAAGGGGAGAGTCGAGAAGAAACCCAACCAAAGAGCGATATGAGGGGACATGAAGTCCATAGGCGGCAAGGGGAGCGGGAGCGTGGTAGGATACAGCGTACTTGGAGAAAGAATGATGAATTCCCTCATGTGCATGCTGTTCATGACTCCCTCCTCTACATGCACCACTAGAACCACGCGCGCGCTTCGCGCGCGCTTAACTTCTAGCCGTGCTCGAGGATCTATCATCGCAAATTGCCGTTGGGCACTGCCAGATTGACTCGGGAGTTCCCTTGAGGTTGGTCGTGGGACTTTCCGCCATTTGAAATGGTAGCCCCAAAGTCGCGTAACGGGGTCGTTTGGGGGTTTCTACGACGCGTCGTCTGGGGCTGAAAGAGATCAACGGAGCACTGGGGTGCCCGAGTCTGGCTCCGCATTGCCCTGTGCCCCAGGGCCAGGACTTTCCGTGTATGGACAGGTGTACATATCTGTATACGTATATGTTATGTCAGATAGTATGGTTATTTGTGCATGCAGTGGTGTGGGATGGTATATGTGTGTGTCTAGATGCAGGTGTGTATGTAGTATTGGTATACGCACATGTACATTACATGTATGTGTGTACATGTCTATATATACATATACCCAAACAGGCACATATGTCGCAGTATCAGTTCGTTGGTATACATACACACCAACAGCTACATATTTCTGACTGTAGGCATAGATCTAAACCCATATACCTAGTTATGCATGTGTACATGTACGTGTAAGTATGTGCGTTGATACATGAGTGTGGTGTACCTATGTATATGAATACACACATATGTATACATGCATGCTTGTATGTGTGCATGTATGGATGTAGGTCTGTCTGTCTGTCTGTCTGTCTGTCTGTCTGTCTGTCTGTCTGTCTGTCTGTCTGTCTGTCCGCCTGCCTGTCTGTCTGTCTGTTTGTATGTATGTGTGTATGTAGATAGGTAGGTAGGTAGGTAGGTAGGTAGGTAGGTATGTGTATGTGTGTATGGTTGCATGTATTTATTTATGTGTGTATATGTGTGTACATGTATGGATGTGCATGTATGTATGTGTGTATGTATGTGTGTATGAATGGATGGATGGATGGATGGATGGATGGATGTACGTATGTGTGCATGCATGTATGTATGCATGCATGCATGTATGTATGCATGTATGGATGGATGGACGGACAAATGGATGGATGTATGTATGCATGCATGCACGCATGTATGTACGTATGTGCATGTATATATGTGTGTATGTCTGTCTGTCTGTCTGTCTGTCTGTCTGTCTGTCTGTCTGTCTGTCTGTCTGTCTGTCTGTCTGTCTGTCTGTCTGTCTGTCTGTCTGTTTGTCCGCCTGCCTGCCTGTCTGTATGTATGTATGTAGGTATGTATGTATGTATGTATATTTACATATGTAAATAAATAGATGAATTGATTGGCCTTCGGACCATCCCGCCACGGTGCTTGGGCTGCGTGTCAGAGGCTTCTTGGGTGATCGTTGGTACCTCGTGGGAAGCCTCTCGGGAACCTCGTCGAGGGCGGCTGTAAAGCCTCTTGGGGGCCGTTTGGGGGCTTCTTGGGGCCTCTTTCGGCCTCTTGGGGGCTTCTTGGTGGGCCTCTTGGGGGGCCTTTTGGGAACCTCGAGGCGTCTCGTCGGGGCCTCTTTGGGCCTCCTCAGGGCCTGGCGGGGCGGCAGGCTGGAATTCTGGGTTTGTGTTCCCTGGGGGCCTCTTGGGCCGCTCTGGGGCATCCCTCTTGGGCCGTCTTGGGGAGCCTCTTGGGCCGTACTGGGGCCCTCTCGAGTCATCTTGGGGCTCTCGACAGGTCTCTGACGCCGTCTTGGGGCTTTCTTAGTCCTCTCTTGGGCCGTTTCGGGAGGTCTTGGGCGCCTGCCTCTGAGCCGTCTAGGAGCGTTGGAAGCCCGAACTGGTAAGAACGCCAAACTCCTTCAAAAACCTCGGGACAAATCTATATTTTTGGTCTCTTGGGCCACTCATCGGGGTCCTCTTGGGAGCCTTCTTGGGCCGTCTTGGGGGCCTCCTGGTCCGTTTGGAAAGCTTTCGGGTCGTCTGAAATCTCTGGAGGGCGACTTCGGTGTGGCTGATGGCCGTCTTGGACCGCGGGGGCGGCTGTCTGATCGCTCTGGGGGCCGATCTACAACCTCCCAACTGCGGGCCCGGCCCTGAAGCGCCCCGAAAAGGGTCGCCCCCCCCCACCCCCCCCAGGGACTAAAAAGGGGACCGGGGGGGGAGTTTTGAAAAAGTGTGCCACCCCCGGGGCCCAAGGCCCAGATCCCCGGTATATGATATATTTCTTCTTGCAACTCGTCTCTTTGATGCCCTAATTCTGCGTGACTTCACTTGCAGCGCTACAACCCTCTTTCGCCAAGCAGTGCTTCAGGATTGGTGTGGTGGGCACCCATTGTGGTTTTCAGTCCATTGCAGAGGAAGTGCAACCGATGCTTTTTCCCCTGCCTTTGATCATCCCTTTGATTTGGCTGATTGCAGAAGGGAGTGCGAACTGTGAAGTACACTGCGGCCGCCCTCTGACGATCTCCATCACGTTGCAAGTCAGATTGTTGGAACGAACATACACACTGCGCTAAATATCACGACCTGTTTGGAATGTACTGGTGAACCAGCTCGCATTGACATCTGATTTCGCGCTGCATTGTACTGACATGCGCTCGAGGTTGAACCAGTATTTGGCGTCTTTCTTCGAGGCTTGGACCGTGACGAGGCCTCCTCGATCTGCCTTGCATGTTGAACTTCATGATAGCACTTGCCTTGCGCATCATGGGTTCGCTCGTGCTCGCGTGCTGTGGCTCTCGAGTGTGTTGCCCTTGCGCTGGTTTTGTGCGGGGCACAGTCGTTGAGCGTGGCGGTCACCGAGGGAGGGTGGACACGGGGGAACGGGGAAGGGTACCGCCCTCGGAGTCGAAGGCGGGGTCCTGGGTGGAGAGGTCATTAGGCTTAAGTCGGGCACGTCTCTCTGCAGGAGGAATATTCTGAAGTAGTCAAAAAATAGTCTGGGGACGATTTTCGACTACTTTTGGATTCTGTTTGAGTATTTGTTGAATACTTTTGATTTTTCGTCCAAAATCTGCCTGTAGGGGGACATGCCCGACCTAACAAAAGCTGCCAGCGGCCGCTGATTAGTCCTCTCCTTTGCGGCCTGTTTATTCATGGCGCCAGTCTTCATGTCGCCTCTACCAGTTTCCTGCGTTCCTTTCTGTCGCCACCGTGTGCGATCGCAGCCATGCAGTTCTTCCTTTCGAGTGTATCCGTTTTTGCACGCCGCCGCTCACCCAGGACAGCGAGATTACGTTCGGCGACTGGCGGAAAGAGCGCGTGGCCACTGGCGAGAAGTTGCACTGGCTGCCGATTCCTCAAGACGAGGCAGAGGACGGCGGACAGATCTTGATACCGTGACCAATGCTGCCGGTGTTTAGTATATTGCCAGAATTTCGCACATTGACGCGGCAGTCCACACGCGAGCACAGGCCCTCTCAATCGCAGGTCAGAGCGAGAGCCCAGCTTTTCAGAGGGGCGAGAGGGGGCGATGAGAGGGGTTGGCAAGGCGGTAGTGTGAATGGAGTTACACAAAAACGCAGAGAAAGAGATAGACATAGAGAGAGAGAGAGAGAAACAAAAAAACAAACAAACAAAAAAGAGAGAGAGAGGTACACATACATATTTACACATACACACATATATATAGAGAGAGAGCGTATCTTGAGACCTCTCGGCCATCTTCGGCCCATACTGGGTATATAGTGAAGTGATCTATTAGTCTTTTCGGGTGATCTTGCGGGCATCCTGTGGTGTTGTTGACCCGTTGTGGGCAATCTTGGGATCTCTTGGGGCCGTGATGAAGCGATCTTAGGACACTTTGAGAGCACATCATGGGACAGGCAAACAAATTACGTCATTCCGCCCAAAGGCGAGTGGGCAAGTGTAAGTATTTATTGGTGACGCGAAAACGATGTTCATGCTGCGAAAACTATGGGAGCGATGTCCATGCTGCGAAAAGTCGAGAGAAAAGAAAGAGACAAGCATACAGTGAACCGGAAAGGCCAACAATTTTGAACTTAGAATCCTTTCGGAGCCACTTGGAGTCATATTGGAGGTCTCTTGGGGCCCTCTTGGAGCCATCCTGGAGGCCATCGATCCAAAGCATGGGTTGGGTGGGGGGGGGGCTGGATGAGCTCCTCCCGCTTGGAGCCCGACAATTCGCCTCTTGGGACCCTCTTGGGGCGCTATTGGGGGCCTTGGGGCAATCTTAGAGCGTTTCTGAGCACCGCTCGCGACCAGCCTAAACTATATGAAACAAACCACACCAGACAAGAGCAGTTTACGGCAGACCATACAAATATTGATCGGCGCATTTGTCGTCGGATGGACTCGTTGGAACACGCGAAGCGTTCAGAATCGTACAGTGTAATGTGGCAGTGTGGTGTGATGTTCCGTGGCGAGATGCGTTGCGGTGAGATGTGGTTTGGTAGGATGCAATCACATGCAATGTCACGTTGTACAATACAACTGCAAAGTCAAGTAGTGGCAAGTGGAATTTAATGTGCCATTGGCTCTGTGCTCGAATCTGCAAGCGCAAGAGCAAGCACCCGTGTAGTGTTGTACAAGCATACGATGTCGCATGATGTGGTATATATTTGTACGTATGCGCGAAGTCTCGCATGTTGCGTCCATGGTAAAGTAATACGTGCGCGTAATCATTTCATTTTGCGCACATCAGTGATATGTGTGCTTATATATATATATACATAAACCTAAGCATACATCTGCATTGACATGTACACATATCTACAAGCCAGCGTGGACCCCGAACAGCGAATTCTTGCAACCTATGCGTTGCTTGCTGGGTGTCTTAACTGACGTGTTGTAATCTAGAGGATGCATTTCATGTGGTGCAATAGATGTGGCGCAAAGTAGCGCAAAGCAATGCAACCGCAGTGCGTAGCAATGCTGAGAAATGCAATGCGATGCAAAGCAGTACAAAGCACTGCGAACCAATGCAAAGCAATGCAAAGCAAGGCACAGCACAACAAAGCAGTGCAAGCCAATGCAAACCACTGCCGTGCAATGAAACTCAATGCAAGGCAATGCAAAGCGATGCAAAGCAATGCAAGGCAATGCATTGCAATGCATTGCAGTGCGTTGCAACGGGGGGCGGGCCCATCCGAGGGAACGGTGGCGGCGGTGGACGGCGGCCACAAGCCGGCTGGACCGACACTGGGGCCCAGCGGCGACGGGCGGCCTCAAGTCAGCCCGACCGACACCAGGGCCCAATTTTTTCAGAAGAGAAACAGGAACCCATCAGTGCAAGCACTCTTTGGGGAGCATGCATACAGATTCCCAAGCAGTTTTGGCACTCAAAGGTTCTTTATTTCTGTGCTAGGAAGCTGGGCCGTGTCGTGTATTCGGTCTGGCGGCTATGTGGTCGCCGTCGCGGCCGTCGTCTGGGCCGTGTCTGAGGTCTGGCGGCTATGTGGCCGCCGTCGCCGCCCGTCGCCGCCCCGTCGCCGCCTCGTCGCCGCCCGTCGCCGCCGTTGGATTGCACCGCGTAGACTGCACGAAAAAATGTTCGCGCTTGCGGCGCGCTTTTTGATCTTTCAACATAGATTGCACCACATATGTTGCACAACGCAGATTGCACAACATATGTTGCATAATACCATCTATTGCACCGTATCGGTTGCACCACAAATATCGCACCACATATATTGCGCAACATATATTTATATGTATGTCTACATATATATATATACACATTATGCAACATATATTGCATCACGTTGATGGCACCACATAGGGTGCACTGCAACGCATGGATCGCACCACGTAGATTGTACCACATGTATGGCCTCACATGAACTCAGCACATCGGTTGCACGACATTGTTGTTCGCGCCTGCGTCGCGTTCTTTGGTAGCTCGACGTATGTTGTACCATACACATTGCACACCATAGGTTTCACCGCATATATTGCGCAACATATGCTGGATTGCATAGATTGAGCCACATATATTGCATGACATTTAGTGCACTGCAGAGACACATGTACAAACATCAGGCTTCTGTGGAAAGCGAAGGCCCTTAGCACGGTTTGGCGCGATTGCCAACGTCAGGCGCGCAATACAACCTTGCACGAGCGGGGATTTGGTAGGTGATGGAGTCGCGTTTGCGCCTGTATATTCTGACGCAGTTGCGACGTATCGTGTGTGCACTGAGCACAATCATTACCATGCATTGCGGTCGTGTCTGGTGTCCACCGTCATTGGTTAGAGGTATGGTCAGCTGGGCGGAACAACAGTGAAGGAATCTTCACAGTGACAAAGTTCGAGCATGCATACAGTTCCAATGAGTAGTGCAGGACAAAGGCTACTGGTTGGTGACTATGCGCGATGTCTACGTTGGGGGCAAGGCTCCTCGCGGGAATCTGCGACTCTGCTCGACAAGTTCACGGCGGGTGTCAGATATAGTTGATGCATCCCCCAGTGCAGGCATTCTACATATATCGCTTGAATCATTCGCACCACAATGTTTGCTCTCAGATTTCCACTTCCTTTAGCGAGCTTATCATCATCTCGGTCCTCCATTGCTCGTCTAACTGGCCTGGCTCCTTCCAGAGATCAGCGTGAGACGTCCTTGCATCACGCTTGCCTCGCGCATGTTCTGCCCATTGGTCTGTTGTTCGCCCTCATCCACGACCTGCTCTGTGTTCGCACAGCCTTTTTCTTTGGTGCACGGGCTGGACCACTCTCGATTCAGATTTCTTGTGTCCAGCCCCTTCTAGCAGACGGCTGCAGCGGAGGCAGACATTCTCATTAAGTGTGGGTGGCTTCAAGTGAGGAGCGCGCACTTGCGTCCAGCCTTCTTGGCATCCGTGCGGGGAGAGACCTGCAACCAATTTGTCCTGCTCTTGCAAAGGGTGTGGACATGCGAGGTTTGTGTTCTCGCTCGATCCACCAGCTGGCGGTTCTCTGCGCCTAGTTCAGAGATGCAGCCGCATATGGTTCTGACTGTAACACGCGGAAATGATTGGTCGTTTTATCAAGCTCGCTCACAGCCTTGTCTTTAGTTTGTGGCGTCCCAGTGGCCCCCGCAGAGCTAGACCCACTTCATCACATGCGGCAGTCTGGCAGGCCTGCGCCTCTGCACTTGTCCCAGGATGCCGAGTGTCTCTAGGTCTCCCAGACGGGATCTGCGCAGATGTGTTCGGAGGATCGCGCCGCAGCGCCAATGCATCGGCGATGCGGCTCGATATGCTGCCCGATTTCTCCACGCCGACTGCGCCGATGCATCGCCGACGTCGCAGATGCATCGCCGATGCATCGGCGATGCAGCGGCGATGCAGCCCGATCTTCCGACCCCATCTACTCGGACCCCAATTGGGAGGCCTCTAATGTCTCAATGCTGGCCCGAAGGGTCTTGCCGAATTGCCCTCTACAGCATATTGCGTCACAGAACAGGCCCTCTCGCAATGCCCTTCTCCGAGGCCTTGAACTTGTGCGGCCCGGCTGGCTCGGGGGATCGCTGCAACGTCGCCATGGACACCGGCAGCTCCCTGACCATGGCATCACCATACCAGGTCTGCCTCGGCAGCAAGCAAGAGGCCAGGGAATGACCGGGCAGAGTGTCATGGCTGAATGTGCCGTGCGCACATGTGTCCGTGTGCACTAATAAGTACGTGCATGCCTAGACAAAGGAAAGCCCATACAGGGAGAAGGAGCAAGCGAGAGGGAGATGATGACCGAGAGAGCGCGGGAGAAGGATAGTGAGGAGAGCAAGAGAGAGAGAGAGAGAGAGACAGAGACAGAGAGAGAGAGAGAAACATAGGTAAGGAGATAAAGAGAGACAGACAGAGAGACAGACAGACAGCCAGACAGGCAGGAGACACGGACGGACGGACAGGCAGACAGACAGACAGACGACAGACGGAGAGACGGACAGACGGACAGTCAGACACACAGACAGACATACAGACAGACAGGCAGACCGACGGACAGCCATACAAACAGATAAGGACCGAGACAGCAAGAGAGAGGGGGAGAGACAGAGATGCAGGGTGCAGGGCAGGGAGAGACGGAGAGGAACGGAGGATTTAGGTAGTGTAGACGGGGTGGATCTGGAAAAACCGGGGGATAGAGAGGAGGAGGGTCGGAGAGAGTAAGCGAGGGATAGGAATCGGAGCTACTCCTTCTCAGCAGGTCTCGGAGATGCTTGGCGCTGTCGGTCTCAAGTATGACTGTTGCGAGCTCAGCATCCTGATTACTTATATCATGGCGCTTCTACAGTGCGAATACTGCGTGCGCAGTCGACACCGATCATAGACAAGATCGAGTCTGCGCAGCGATCGAATCTGGGGTGAGCAGGAGTCTGAAAGTCGACAGGAACGACAGATAGCAAGCGGTCTAGGCGAGTGTAAACGCCCAATGTATCCTACAATGTTGCTTCTGCTTGCATCAGCACTGCCAATAGCTGGAGAGCTGCTGAGGCTCTAATTTCGAGCACCTGCCAGAGCTGAAATTCGTGTTCGACGCTGAGGCTGGCGGCACCTACAACATGGTTCTCACGCCTGAGGCGGCTGAAGTTTTTTTCTGGATTTCGTGCTGCATGTCGAAGCGACGCGTTTCCGAATGCGCTTGAAAAGATGTCTAGCATCGTTTTGGCTGCTACGCCATAAGATACGTGGTATATTTCGGTGCCAGCGTGCAGGGTGATGTATTGGGGGGGGCGGGCATGGTAGAACTACAGAGACACCCTTCTGGTGATAAGGAGTTTTTGTGGGGTATGGGTGCATGTTTCGGTTTGTGATTGCGTGGTGTAGCAGGCTCTACGTATCAAGTAACGGTCTATCCATATACTTGGCGAAAAAGCAGTCGATCCAATCAGCTAATTTGCATACGTAATGCATCCTGCATCTGTGTCCCGGGGGCTCTGGGGCAGCACACTTTCCCCCCCCCTTCCCAGTACCCACTTTCGCCCCAGGAGTCCTGGCCCCTTTTCCGTGCCTTGGGAGGGTCAGTTCGGCTTGAAGAGGCGTCGAAGACACGATTTCGACTTCCGACCATGCCCAACACGGGCCAAGATAGCGTCAACATCGCTCTAAAGACGGTCCAGGACGTCTCAAGAAAGCTCCAAGAGTGCTGCCAAGAGGCCACCAAGGAGCGAAAACCGTTTTCCCCGCCGTTGGCTCCCCGAACCACCCGCCGCTGGCCCCCAGGAATCCCGCAAAGGGGAGAACGCGAACACTACGCAACAACCGAAGGACAATCAATAATTCACGCCTCTTCGGGCTCTCCTAGAGGGCCTCTCGGAGCCCTCTTGGGGGCCTGATGGGCCGCCTTGAGGCCACCTTGGGCCGTCACGGGGCCCTCTTGGGGGCCTCTTGGGCGGTCTTGGAAAGCCCTTATGCGGCCAATCGTTGGGCTACCGTTTGGCCAAACTATATGACTACTTCGCCGTGGCAAACAAATATTATGTGGTTTGCGTGCAAGGTGACGGACGACCAGCGGAGTAGGCGGAGTGGGCGGAGTAGAAATTACTCCGCGTGGATATGCATCCAGCCCCACTTGTTAATGATAAGTTGGGTGGATTACTTTTCGAACCTCTCTTGATATAGCGGAGGTATTAATTAAGAGGGGCCCGAATTCCTTTGCGCGGGCGCAGGGGCCATCTGCCCATTTTAGGAATCATCGGAGGGATCGGAGATTCCAACATCATACCAAGCAGCAGAGTTTCTGTCACGGCAGTGTTCATGCCCGCTGCGTTCTCTTCCGGTTTTATCCATGCGACGGTCAGGCAAGTCCAGACAGTTGAGGCAATGGCAGTCCAGCCAGCTCGCTTGCAACGCCAGATTAACAATGCATCGATGCTCGCCGCGTGGTACCTGACATGCCGCTACGCCGTTACAATAGTTCGTGACCGTTTCTGAGAGCGTCAAAATGATGTGAGATCCTTCCGTGACTTCCGCGTGGGCGGGCGGGCGGGGGCTGACCTTCGTCCATGAGCAGGCCTCCCTGTTTCCCCCTTTAGAATCCTGACGGGCTGAGTCAAGAGAAATCGGATCACATATCCAGGCTTCCAGAATCAAGATGTTAATGCTATTATTTGATCTTGTATTTTGAACTCCCGACGTAAAGACACATTCGGAAATCCCACCAGACGGGATCCAACACCTGCAAATGCAAGACGGTTGCATCTCATGTCATAACGATCTTTCGGAACGCCGACGCATCGTCGTCATCGTCATCATCACCATCATCAGCATCGTTCTCTTCGTTTCTTGTCATCGCATTGCGCGCATCGCCAGCGCGCTGGGCTGGATGGACCCGTGAACAAAGAGGTCGGGTGCATCCTTCCCCATCGTCGTGACAAAATTGTTATGCGGTCTGCGTGCGAGGTGACTGACGATAGGCGGAGAGGGCGGAGTAGAAATTACTCCGCGAGGACATGCATCCCGCCCCATTTGTTCATGATAGATTTGGCGGAGTAATTTCCAAACCTCTCTTCAGATACCATAGTTGTTGATCAAGACGGACTCTAGTTACCCTGCGGGGTCGCAGGGGCCACCTTCCCACGTTCTGAATCTTCAGAGGGACCGGATATTCCAACATCTTACCAAACCGTTTCATGTCGCTACGGCAGCGCATGCGTTGCCCCAGTCGTTGTGGAAACCGTTGGGGGACATTTGGGGAAAGGAGAGAGAAGAGGAGTAGAGCAAAAATAATGAACATCAGCCAAACGTCGATGGAACATGATTTTCTCTGACCTCTAATATTTTTCCAGAAAAAAGAAGCAACGGAGGATCAATTAATTTGGCTTCTTGGGGCCCTCTCCGGAGTGCTCTGGGAGGCTTGTTGGGACGTCCTGGAGGCCTTCTGGGCAGTCTGGAGGGCGTGAAGGCGTTTTGGACCGATCGTTTGGCGACTTGGGGACCACTTGGACCGTCTTTGGTGCCTCTTGAGCCATTCTTGACCTGTTTTGGTATTTTTTGAAGCCCCAGGGCCCCCAGGGGGGAGACGCGTATCTGACCCCCCCTGGGACCCCCCCCTACCCGAACCCCCTCCGACGGGGGAGGGATCAAAGGGAAAGGGCTTCCCTTCGACTCGATTACGGCATTGCTAGATTTTCCTCTCGCTGACAAGCTTGAGGAGGAGTGCGCAGGGAAAAGAGACGACGGAGACGACGACTGACGGAGACGACGACTCGAACAGGCAAGCCCCTCACACACGCCGCCGGTCGGTGGATTTGCGCAGCAGGGTCAACCCGGAGAACTCGAGGAGAACTGACGACAGTCCGTTTCTTGAGTCTGTGGCTTACAGTCGGGGCGCTGCAGAAGGAACCGTTTTCGTTGGGGAGGTGCTCGGTGTTCCTTGATTGTTTCATAGCTTTCCCAAGGTTTTCCCTCGGTTTTCGATAGGAAGCCGAAGTTTAAGTTATGGATAAAACGGGCCTCGTTCCTCATTTAGGGTTCCTTGGGTCAAAGCCCCGACTGTACCGCGGGTCTTCGGCCGCGGCTTTCGTGAGCCTGTGATTTACCTGTCCCTTTCCACTCGTTTCGCTGCGAGGGGAAGGGCCACCTGGACGCCTGCCTCCTTCCATGCATCGACACTCCACTTCGTGCCTCGAGGCACAGTGGCGGATGTGTGATCCAGGGTTGCCCCCCCCATGCATGTGTGATCGATCCGCCCCCCTCCCGCTGGATGGGCACGCCAGTGAGCTTCGCGAAGGCCTCGCGAACGAGATCGTCCCCCCCCCCCGCTTGGTCGTGGCCCTGTGGGGATGGCGTGGTGGAAGTCGCCGGTGCTCCCTCCCCCTTGTGGGTGTGGGGTGGTTCGTCGTCGTCGTCGTTGTCGTCGTCGTCGTCGTCGTCGTCGTCGTCGTCGTCGTCGTCGTCGTCGTCCCCCCCATCCCATCTGGGGGGGCTGTGCAACCGCGGAGCCCAAACCATCTGGGAGGGGGTTGTAAACCCTCGAGCTGGGATCGTATATACGCATATTCACTGGACATGAGCATTTACGTGTACAAGTGCGCATGGTTCCGTGGATTCCGCATGTGATCGTGAATGCGACGAGGGGCACTTCATGTCTGAGTTGGTGATCGGGTGCTTACTCGTCTGACCTGAGCAGTGTTACGACGTGACTCAGTTACCGTATTGGAACTATGTAAAGTACAGGGTGGCCGACAGCATTGAATCATCAAGCAGCTTGCAGGACTACGTAGACCAGACGCACGAGGGTTGCATTACCGGTTTCCAGCCCATATCGTTGCCGCCCGAGCTCGGGAGGATGTGGGTCTTCGGCCAGACCGTCAGGGCCTTAGTTAGTTTGGGCATGTGCCCTCATAGGATGGCTGTGTCGTGAGACATATCAACAATCACAACTGTTCTCTCATGCTCGGCCGCGTCTGCGCATACCCAATACTTTCAGTACCACTCATTTATCCATTGTCAACGCACGTCATTGATATTGGAGAAGATGCGCAGTAATGGAGGGCAAGGCAGGACCTGAGGGCGCGATGTCAAGGGGTGCAGAAAGAGCACGTCAAGGTGAGGACGGGGAGGGGAAGAAGGATTCAGCAGGAGGTGGAGGATGAGTTGGAGGAGGAGGAGGAGACTCATCGCGTTCGCGATTGTCTACAAACATGAAATTCTTCTTGGCACTGTTGTGGGTGTTCCCAGTGGTGGGAGTTCAGCCTCTGCGCTAGCTTGCATGGGCATCCTTCGGGTAGTCTTGTCTGTCTGATACAACACTCGCTTTCGATGGGATGGTCTCATCTTTCAGTTTGAGTTTCACATTTTGACGCCCTATCAAGTGACTCTTCTCTACCCGCCTTTACTCTTGCCTACTTGCCGGGCAGCCTTTGGCCAGCTTGAGGCCTGTCGAGGATCAGTGACGATCAGTTCTGCCGTTGAAACTGGGGCACACAAGCGACAGCCTCCTGGAGCTTGCTATGTAGATGGCTGAACCACTGCTTCGAAAGAGGTTTTAAGAGAAGAGAAGTGGTTTGACTCACGCACGCGGTGCTTCAATGCTGACAAGCGTCGGAGAGAACGGGCGAGCGGCTGTGGCTGGGCCCGTGGACTCTTGAGCCGTCAGGGGTAGTGTAGGGTGTGGAAGGGAGAAAGGGAGGGAGGGAGGGAGGCGTACGAGTCGAAGGCAGGAACTATTCCACAAGCAGTGCTTGCACTTTGGGGTTCCTACTTGTCTCCCTCAGGACTTGGTTTGGTATATATCTAGGTTTCGCGCGCCGCCGCCCTTAGACCGCCTCGTTGCGGCCTCGTTATCGCCCACCGTTGCCACCTCGGGGTGTGTGTCGAGGAGTCGCCACGTTGCCGCCCGTTGCCGCCTCGTGAGGTATGTCGAGGAGTCGCCACGTTGTCGCCGCGTGCCGCCTCGGGAGGTATGTCGAGGATGCGCCACGTTGCCGCCTGGTGCCGCCTCGTCGCCGCGACACCCCATGGCGTACGCTCCGAAGGTGCAATGACTCACTGCCTGGAAGTCCAGGCTGGCAAACAGAAGCATGGCGATCCAGAGGTCCACGCCGATGCCTTGGGTCGGCGCTGGACCCCTCCCCCGCACCCCTGGGCGGCTCTGGAGGCGCCGCCCGCGGGTGTGGGGAGGGAGGCCTGGCGCAGACCTGGGAACTCCGGGCGGACCCCGACCGGTAGGAGGAGGATCCCGAGGAGGTGGGAGGAGGATCCCGAGGACCCCGACCAGCAGGAGGAGGGTCCCGAGGGCCCCGACCAGCAGGAGGAGGATCGCCCGCCGAGGTCCTGCGGAAGTACTACGCGGTGTTCGACGCGGAGCGGTGGCGCGTGGGCCTCGCCGTGGCCGCCCACACCGCGAGGAAGCGGGCCCCGCCCGCCGAGCCCACCGAGCCGCCGGCGGAGAAGCCCAGGGAGGCCTCCCCGCGCGGGGAGGGCGGGAGCCCGGGAGGGCGAGCGAGCGAGCGAGCGAGCACGCGTCACCGGGTTCGGTCGCAGCGGAGGGCGGCGGCGCGGCGGCGGCGTTGCACGGCTTCAGCGGCTTGACGGTCTTGTGCGTCAGGTTGCGTGACCAGCTCCAGTGGTTTCTCATGGGGGACGAGATGATGACGCTGATGTTGATGCTGATGACGATGACGATGACGATGACGATGATGATGACGATGACGATGACGATGACGATGCTGATGCTGATGCTGATGCTGATGCTGATGCTGATGCTGATGCTGATGATGATGCTGATGCCGATGACGATGACGATGATGATGATGATGATGATGATGATGATGATGATGATGACGATGACGATGATGCTGATGCTGATGCTGATGCTGCTGATGATGATGAAGATGAAGATGAAGATGATGATGATGATGATGATGATGATGATGATGATGATGATGATGATGATGATGATGATGATGATGATGATGCTGGTGATGGTGATGGTGATGATGATGATGATGATTCGGATTATGCTTATGATTACGATGCTGCTTCTGATGATGGTGACGGTGATGATGCTGATGTGCTGATGATGATGCTGATGTTGATGATTACGTTGTTGGTGGTGATGATGACGATGACCATGACGATGCTGATGTGCTGATGATGATGTTGATTATGATCATGATCATGATAATGACGATGACGATGTTGATGGTAATGATGATTCATATGATGATGATGATGATGATGATGATGATGATGATGATGATGATGATGATGATGACGATGACGATGACGATGACGATGATGCTGATGATGATGATGATGATGATGATGATGATGGTGATGGTGATGATGATGATGATGATGATGATGATGATGATGATGATGATGGTGATGATGATGATGATGATGATGATGATGATGATGATGATGATGATGATGATGATGATGATGTTCATGCTGCTGCTGCTGCTGGTGCTGATGATGATGAGGAGGAGGAGGAGGAGGAGGGGCAGGCGCAGGAGGAGGGTCAGGAGGAGCAGAAGAAGCAGCAGGAGCAGGAGCATGAGAGAGAGAGAGGCTGAGGAGGAGGAGGAGGAGGAGGAGGAGGAGGAGGAGGAGGCGGGGAGAGGAGGAAAAAGAGGGCTCGCCGCTTCTCTCTATCCACACCCCTGCGAACCGAGAGGTCTTGGTTCGCAACTCTCCCCCCTCGACCCTCGACCGCTCTAGAAGACTGGGCCATTGAGGCCAAGGGGTCTTCGGCGACGATTTCCGACGACACCCAGGAGGATGACACAAGCATGGCGCGTGAGGGTACGTCCAAACTTCCGCGTACCCTGAATTGTCGCTGTTCAGACAGCCCTTCGATGCCCGTTCGTCCCAGACCGAAGCAAGGGAGCAAACATCGAGAGAAGATTCGGAGTGCCCGAGCAATGAGCTGTCAATCGAGCAGGGGCCGCGGCGCAGGAAGACGGGGGGACAAAGCAGACGTAATTCTGCTGACTAACATGTGTTGCCGAAGCACTGGGTACGACATGCACTGGATGAGGGGTAGAATCTGGGAGGACAGCGAGGATGGAGGAAGAGGGCGGGAAACAACAGGCAAAGGTGGAGGGGGAGAAGGAGGATAACGACGACAAGGGGAAATAGAAAAAAGAGGAGGAGGACACGTGACGGAGAGACAGGCACGGGAGGGGCGAGGGGAGGGGAGGGGAGGGGAGGTGCTCGACGGATACTTCTCTTACCGTCGCGCGCCCTTACTTACTGGCATCTCTGCCGCGCTTTCCGGCATCCCTTCGCCAAACTGCGGCGGAGACAGATAGCGAGGTTGTGCGCTCAACTCAGCTCTCAACAGCTGCTAAGGTAGAGGGAAACAATTAGTGAACACTCCCCCTGCCCCCCAAACTCAAGGTTGGCACGCGCGGGGGAGACTGCGGTCGAGGTGCAACTCATCAGACCCACCGCCAACTTTGAACATTGGGGGGAGGGGGAGGCGTTCACAGATGAATGTGGCATGAGTGTTCGCTATTTTTTCCGAGACCTGCAGCACGATCGAGCCTGAGGATGGGCAGCCTCCACGCATCTGCTGGCTGCTCACGGCCAGCCGCCGCCGTCGCTCTCCCCGTCGGCGCCTGCTGCGCCCTCCTCGGCCCGACTCCGGGCTCGCCCGCGGGGCGCACCTCTTCGAAGACCAGCGCGTCTTCCGGATCAGTCGCGCCGAGCTGCTCTGCCACCGCCTTCCCTGCCATGACATCACCGTGCCGAAAAAGTTCCTCCCTGGACCTCGTGCCCCTTTTTGGGCGCGCGCGAGGCCAGCCTAGAACCCTACAACCCTCGTCAAAATTAACCTCAAAACTGTCTTACGTGGCTGAACTGTTTGTGGTGAGATACTGGACAGAGTAGCGATGACTGCGAGGTACTTGTATGCGCCCCCCTCCAATGTCGGTCATCATCGAAATTCCGAGTCGTTCCTGGTTAGACCACCTTTGCCCTGGCCCCGACATTGGAGGGGCGTCTATCGACATTGAAGGGTGCGCCGACATCGCAGGGGCGTGGTCGCCATTTTTAAGGTCAGTCTTGATGAGGGTAGTAGGATCCTAGAATGCCGAAGGTTCCCTGGAATTTTGCGGGTGCGCCCGAGGGCACGTCTTGCTCGCAGACGCGAGCACACCACGACGGCAGCCCCGAGGGGAGCGAGGGCTCCTTGGAGGCGTTGAATTTCCCCTTCCCCCCCCCCAGAAGCCTACGGTAGGTTCGTGTCGTGTCGACCGGCGGCAACCCCGCCAGCGGCGTTCAACGTTGAACGCCGCGGGCGACCAAGAATCGTTCGATGTGGAACCACTTGGACGTTTCGGAAACGGCCGATCGTTCAAGGTTGAACGATCCCCGCGGTGTCAGAAACCAACGCCGAAGTCGGCACGACACGAGCCTGCCGTAGCAAGACACTCGTCTCGTGTGGTCTGGCTGGGATTATGCTCCCCTGATGTGTCCAATGACAAAAAGTTCTAGTTCAAAGAGCACAAGATCCCACCCATACAGTCAACCCGCACAGTAAGGATGGGCCACCTTCCCAAGGGTACCCTTGTATCCTTGCCTCCTCGGTGCATCCCTGGCCACTTTCGTTGGCCGCGCCCCGCTCGAGAAGCGTCGACATGGCCTTCCAAGGCCTTTGCATCCTTACCGCGCATCCTTACGATACAGGCCGATTGTTTTAGGTTTCTAGTTCAGAGAGAGTCAAAGACCCCACCCATACGCAATGGGGTTCCCATTGAATCCTGGGCGGGGTGCGAATCCCGCAGTTTGATTTCGTATTGACGTTATCGTGGGTTCAACTTGCAAGCGCATCAGGGCCATGCCAGGGTCTTGGCGCCGTGCTCTGGTATTGCTTTGGCCACTCTCGGCCCGCCTGTGGGCCATCGCATGGTCATTGAGACATCCTTTGATCGCCCGTTGCAGTAATGTTGGGCCGCCTTGGGGTTGCCCAGCGGCCTGCTGGACGCCGCGTCGAGATCACGTACGGATCACTGGACCCTATTCGGGTCGCCCTGAGGGCACGGCGGGTTCGCGTCGAGTTGACGACACGGCAACCCCGCCGCGGACGTTCAGGGTTGAACGCCGCCAGCTGCATCGGCCAGCGTGGATTGACCTGGCGATCGGAAGGCCGCCGATCGTTCGAGGTTGAACGAGTCACGTGGTGTCGCAGACCAATGCTGGGCTCTCCGCGACGCGAACTTGCCGCATTGTCGGGTCGCTTGGTGCTTTGAGGCCATCTTGGAAACGCGCTGGGGTCGTGGAGCCGCCTTCGGTTTGGGTCATCTTGAGGTTTTGCGCGTTACTATGGAAACTCTTGCTGCGGCCAAGTAGGAACTCTGCCCTGACGGGCACGCTCTTGCCGGTACGGTATTCTTGTCGTACTCTGGACCGTCCTGCACCATCTCACGATTCGACCCAGCCAACACCTCGATGACGCATCCTTGCTTGTTCGGCAGAATCCTTGTCCGTGCCCCCGACCGTCTAGCCCCCCATAAGGATACGTAGAGTTCTGATGTTCCAGCCTACTTTAGACCTTACCACCAGAAAGAATTTCGAGCACCAGGAGAGTACCGAAATTGACTGGCTTTCACGTGTCGGGCCCTCGGAGGCGATACTCGTTCGACACTGATTCCATATTTTCTGGGTGCTCGAAGTTATTTCTGGGATGTGGTCCTTGAGCACGATGGGGGCAACATAAACGCAGAGCGTCCAGCGCGTCACTCTCCTCGGGCACCTTGCCCTGCGGGACGTCGTCCGATGCGCTCCGGTCCAGCAGCAGTGCTTGCACCTCGGTCTATTCCGGGACGAGTTCGACCTCCAGCTGCACCTTCTGCGTGGGGGGAGGGGGAGGCAAGGAAGGACAGGAGTAGCAGTAGGAGAATGAGTAGGAGGAGGAGGAGGAGGAGGAGGAGGAGGAAGAGGAGGAGGAGGAGGAGCAGCAGCAGAAGGGGTGGGGGAGGAGGTGGCTGGCTAGACTGGTTCTCAGTTGGCCCATGGAGTCCAGGAGGAGCGCTATGCGAGCAAGTGCACATCTCCAGGTCTGCGAGGACCAGAATGTGGAGATGCAGAAGGCGCCGCTGGCACTGCACAGAAGGAGGGGAAAGAAAGGAAAGAACGAGGAGGAGGAGGACGAGGAGGACGAGGAGGAGGACGAAAAGGAGGACGATGAGGAGGACGGGGCCTCTGATGTCCACCTGCATGCTCCTCGCGGCTTGCCCTAACCAAGGCTTCCTTGTCCTTCTCTTGTGTGTGTCGCTCTGCCCTAGAAGAGGCTTCGTTCAATATATGGCATTTAGTTCAGTCGATCCGACAAGGATGACGAACGGATGAGGAAGAGGACCAGGATTTGTTCACTACGACCATGATGATCAAGCTCAGCAGCTAGATGCGAACCATATCAACAAATATTTCAAAACAGTGCTTGCACTTAGGGGGTCCTGTTTGGTTTCAAGGAACTGGGCTCGTGTGCCGCCCCACCCGGCTTGTGGTCGCCCCGTCGCCGCCCCGTTGCCATTCGTCGCCGCTCGTCGCCGCTTCGTCGCGGGCTCGTATGTATGCCGGCCCTGCCTGCTTGTGGGCGCCCCGTCGCTGCTCGTCGCCGCTCGTCGCCGCCTCGTCGCTGCCCGTCGCCGCCGCCCCGTCGCCAATCGCACTTCATTGCGCTGCAAATGTACTGCATTGCACTGCAATCGCACCACATAGGTCGCACCACGTGGATTCCACCACGTAGACTGCACTACATAGCTCGCACCCCATAGATCGGACCACATAGATTGCACCACATTGCTTGCACCACGTTGCCCACGTCAACTAGATGAGCTGGCTCCACATAGTTTGAACCACAGCTTACACACCGTAACTCACACTGCACATATTGCGCTGCATACGTTACACCACGTGGATAACTGATACACCATACATCGCACCACATGTATTGCACCACATGTTTTGCACCACATGTATTGCACTACATTGCTCACACACCATAGATCGCACCACATACATTACACCACGTAGATTGCACCACATAGTTTACAGCACATAGTTTGCACCACATAGCTTGCACCACGTAGATTGAATCACCTGGTATGCTAGAAACCACTGTTCGGGGTCCATGCTGGCTGACGTACATTGCATAGTTGTGCATTTACGTATTGTCCTGCAGCCGACTTTCGCGTCAAGGCATGATTGAACGAGACCTGTGCGATGAACTAGCCTGGCGGCAGGTGGAGCATGCTGGATCTATGTATAATTGAGGAGACGGGGAGGGATACTGCAGAGGCGCCCTTCTCATTGCCGGGCTGCGCGACCTTCGCCAAGATGGGCTATTGCAAGAGGTGGGGTGATCGGGACCAGGGGACGTGGAGTGGCCAGACGGGGCAGCGGTTGCAGAGGGAAGAAGGAGGTGAAGTAAGGGCGGTGGAAGTCGAAGCCGAGGGGTGTTAGCAACGCGGATGAGAAGCATGCGCGAGGCTGCGAGTCGCGATGCCAGGCGCTCAGACACCGTGGCGAGCCCATGGCCCATGACGCGCAATGCCCCCGTTCAAAAGCTCGCTTTGCCCTCACTCCAGGGAGCGCTCAGAGGGACGGAACGTAACGCCTGGAAGAGGCAGCTTTTGTATCCTTGCTGCGGCTTGCTTCGGCGCCATTACCCCCGTACCACGGCCGTGTGATCATAACCCCGTCGGAGCGTCTGCAGCGTCCTCGCAGGCTCGGTGCTGGATTGGCCTCGAGTCAGAAGCCAGGCGGAGGCTGGCAAGCCCGTGGCTGCTAAAACGGAGCTCTGGGACATGGATTTCTTCTTCTGGGAAGCAGTCCGTCTATTGTTCAGCGCGCTGAGTTTTCTTCCGGGAGTTCGGTTTCGTTCTTCTGGGGAGACCGTTTTAGCAGCCGCGGATTTGCCAGCCTTCGCCCAGCTTCCGATCGAGGCTCCAGGCGTCGCTGCGCCGACAGTGCCCTGGGGGGCCACGACCTCCGCCTGCGCCGTGCCCGACTCCCCGCGGGGCCGCGGGGCCGCGGGGCGCGGCGCGGCTCGTATTCCTTGAGGTCAAACGTTGTGGACGACGGTCCATGGAGAGAAGGCGTGTTGCCAAATATAGTTCCCAGAGGTCTGAAACACGTTTCAGGTATGTCTGAGGACCCCCTTCGGGGATCATCCGTCAAAATTGGAACGATACAGAGAAGATTAGCATGGCCCCTGCGGAAGGATGACACGCACAAATCGAGAAGTGTATACAATGCTTCAAGTATGTCTTAATCATAAGTATAAGAAACATGTTTAAAACATGTTCAGAACATGCTTCAAATATTTTACAGAGGACAAAACATGTGGTAAAATAGTTCTCCAGAGGAGGCACATCGTAAAATAGCTGCCAGATGACTAACAAGTGTTCAACGCATGTTCAGACAATGCAGAACTCATGTTTAATACAGCTTCAAAACACAGTTCAAATCCAATGATAGAGCTGTTAGAGAGTCCACTGTCATGGCATCCACACGTCAAACGCAAGTTTTTATCCAACTCCCTCGACTCTGACTTTCAATGTTGATCGACGCGCGCAGCGCGACCCGCGGGGTCCACACAAAAAGGTGCAGCCGCCACTTGCGGCACGAACATTGAAGTTGGGGGGTCCGGGGGCGCCGCCACGTCACTGGAAAACAGCTTGCGTTTGATTTCGAGGAGGGACGTAGCATTGCGGTTGGAAGGAGGAGCAGGAGGGGGAGGGACGAGGAGGCGGCCGAGCCTGCGCCTGCGACACGACCCGCGACGGTTTGATTCGGCGCTGCTTTGGCGCTGCGAGTGTAGTTTCTCGAGCATGCTGATGTTGAACCTTCTCCCTTGGCCCCTCGAGCTGAAGCGGCAAAGCGTTGTAGTCTTCTTGAGCACTCTTGCGTACCCTGATTTGCTGCACGCTGACTGGGTACGTGAACGCTTGGGTCGCAGCATGTTTCGTATTGCTGAGCAGAAGAAAAACAGGGAAATGGATTTGAGTGCAAGGGCGAAGCAGTAGACGGAGCAGATGCGGACGCGGACGTGGACGAAGTTCGAATCGGTACCATCTGATATCAGGTGCCGACTGGCAGCGCTGCTCTGCTGGGCCCCCTCACACCCAGGGCAGGGACCTGCAGAGCAGGACGCCGCACCCCGACCTGGAGGAAGATGTCTGACTTGTTGCCGAAAGCGTCGAACTGCTGGTTGGTTGCTGCGAGCGGTACTGCCGGGGCTGCTGGTGAAGTTCCAGGCTGAGATGCACATACTTCAACCGAGAGATTCACCAGAGTCCTGCACGCTCGCCAGCGAGGACGACGAGTTCCTGCAGCATCTGCGTGATAGCATCGACGCTCTTGGGCGTAGGACACACCAGAAGCTCAGGAAGAGGAGGAGCTTCAGCGCCCTCCCTGTCCCCGCCCTGGGCTTCCCTCCCTTCCTTGACATCGTTATGCTTGGTGTCGTTATGATGCTCGCCTGACGCTCGCCTCGAAGACGCCCTCCTCGCCGTGGTGCTGGAGCCAGGGCCTCACGCCCTGCTCGTACTGCTTGCTTATGCTGCTGGGGTATCCTCCATGATTCCGTCCGCCTGCTCGAACTGCTGGTCCAGTGATACGTGGTTCAAAATGGAGGCGCTGGATGTTCGGAGACTTCTCAGACAACGCTTTCTTCAATGCTGTGAGGGTATTGCCAGATTTTGGACACCCCTGCGTCAGTTTATGTTTTGACGAATCTTGTGGTGCTGCTTGCCGCTTCCGAGGGCTCTTTCCTCAGCGCTGCGCTGCGGTGAGGACGACATGCCCTGCTCGCACTGCTCCTTTTGAGATTTCTCCTTGACGTCGTCTGCCGCCACAAGAAGAGACAGAGAGAGAGAGAGAGAGAAACCTTTCTCGTTTTCTATGTCTGCAAGCTGGGGGGAGGAGACCCTCCCCACCCCAAAGCAGGGCCCCCTGGGTCCGTGGCCCTGGCTTTCCAGAGCCCCTGGAAGCGCCTGCTGGGCCTAGGCAACGGGCCCAAATCAGTGAGGAGGGCGGCCGAACAGCCCCTCGCGGGCCCCAAGAGGCCCCAGACACCCACCAGACGTCCGAGGAAGACCCAAACAAGACCCCCAAGAGGCTTTCGAAACGGACGCAAGCATTGATGTCTCGTGGTTTTTGTACGATTTTGGGAATGCTCTGTTCTTCGGTCTTCCGGGCTGAGGCCCGAAAATCGCCTCAAAACCACCCGAAAGGGCTTCCAGGCAGTTCAAGAGAACGCTAAGACGGCCCAACAGGGCCCCAAGATGGCCCGAAAAGAGCCCCATGACGGCCCAAGATGGCCCCAAGACGCCCCCCGAAGCATTTCAAATCGTGACCTGGTCGTTCAGGGAGACCGCGGTTGGAAGCAGGGAGGCCCGGGGAAGCCCCCACACGCCCCCAGAAGACGCCCAGGAGGCATCCGGAAGGCCAGAAGAAGCCCTTAAACACGTTCGTGAGGCCCCCAAGAGGCTCTCCAAGGAGGAGCCTCCGCAACATAGCTGAGGAGGATGGGGAAGAAAATTATGGGTAGGGCGAGAAGGAGGAAGAGGAAGAGGAAACACGAGCGAAGGACAATGGATAGCCTTGGTATAACAACGATGTCGGAAAAGGCAGCAAGGATTCATCGTTACATATTATGTCTCTTTCCTGCCCTTCCGCCTGCATGCCGAACTTCACAGACCCAGGTGCATGGCGCGAAGCGCCAACGCAATGATATATTTTTAGTGCTCACACACACATAGACATAATTATATATATATGAAGACATATGCACGCATGCCTGTACATGTACGTATTCACATGTGCACACATGAAATGTATGAATGTATGTGTATGCATGTATACATATATAAAAACATATTTACATATGCATATATACATGAACATACAAGACTGCAGTGGCACTTCGCGCCATGCACCTTTGTCCTTGAAGTTTGGTATGGAGGCGGCATGGCATGAAGGTCAAGCGGACAATTTAGCGATAACTCCTTGTTGCCTTTTCCGGCATCGCCGTTATGCTACATATTTATGTGAATACATATATAGAGAGAGAGGGAGAGAGAGAGGTGTGTGTGTGTGTGTGTTAATGGATATCTCATGTCGGAGTGTTGGCCCCCCCCGCCCACGCCAGCACATAATGACAAATGGTCCTCCCCACCAGGGTACCGAAGGTGACCCCAGTGGCCTCGGGCCTGTTTTCGGGCCCGCTTTCGGCCTTCCGGAGAGCTTCCAGAACACCCACGATGGCCTCCAGACGGCCCTATTTGCCGCCAAGATGGGACAAGAGCGCCCCCAAACCGCTCAGGATGGCTTTAAGACGACCCAGAGGCCTCCCAGAATTCCCAAGAGTGCACCAAGAGCACCCTCAAGAGGGCAGTATGAAGCCAGAATCGTGCGTAATTCCCTTCGGGAAAGACATGTATGCTTAGCGCATTCGCTTTTTCGCCCTAGTAGCACCCACTACGGCCTAGGGGGGCCCCCAAGATCACCCCAACCAAGACGGCCCAAGAGAGACCGAAGACGGCCCAAGAGGCGCCCAAGATGATCAGCGAGGCCCCAAGAGGGCCCCAATGGGACCCCTGAGGAAGAGCTCGAATTGGCGCGCACTTTGCGCGTGCCGTGAAGATTTGCGGTCCATTTTGCGTTGGCTTGCAGTTCCCGCGAGCCCAATCGCAGCTGTTTCTGGTGAGGAGATTTGCGGGCTACTTTTGCTTGGCCCGCAGCTTTTGCGAGCCCAATCGCAGCCTTTCCTGGTCTTCTTAGGGTCAGGAGATTTGCGGGCCATTTTTTCTGGCACGCATCTTCCGTGAACCCAATCTCAAAACACATTTGCGATCATTGGTTGTTGGCCCGCAATTTGTGCGAGCTGTGGAGATTTGCGGTTCACTCTGCGTTGGCTTGCAGTTTCTGCGAGCCCAATCGCATTTGTTTTTGGTGAGGAGATTTGCGGGCTACTTGTTGTTTTGGCCCGCAGTTTTTGCGAGCCTAATCGCAGCCTTTCCTGGTCTGTTTGGGGTGAGGAGATCTGCGGGCCATTTTGTGGGCCCGCAGTTTCCGCGAGCCCACTCACAACCTGCCCTTGCTAGCTTTCGGCAAGCAGGTTTGTGGGCCATTAATGTTGGCCCGCAATTTTCGCGAGCTCCTTGCGGACCCACCTGCAGGCCCAACACCGTCCGCGTCCGCTTGGAATGAGCATATGTGCGCGCCTCTTTATCGGGGGGGGCGCAGTTCCCGCGGGGCCCAGCCTAGTCCCGCCCCTGCCTTGCCTGCGCAGGGTGGGCAGATTTGTGGATCATCTTCGCTGGGGCCCGCGTCCTGCTTGGGGCCGGCGCCGTGCCTGGGGGTCGTACCAGCTCCAGCTCGGAGGCGCAATGGGAGAGAGAGAGAGAGGAAAAAAAGAGAGACAGAGACAGCGACAGAGACGGAGACAGAGACAGAGACATAGACATAGACAGACATAGGCACCAGCAAAGACAGGGACATAATTCAGCGGGGGCAAGCACGATGTTTCTCTTATGCAGTGTCGGCCAACATGTCCTGGCCCAGTCAGGCTTGTGAGGTCACGCCCGCCTCACATTCCGAGCCCCCCGCCCCAAGAGGACCCCCGAGACCGCCAGCAGGACTCCCAGAAGTGTCCAAGATGCCTTCCGAGGCCCCCAAAAATCCAAGGCGAGGCCTCCAGCCAGCCTCCAAGAGGCCCCGACGTGCTCCCAAGAAGCTCCCGGGAGGCCTCCCAGAAGACCCCAACAAGCCTCTCAGAGGCCACTCGTCCACATTCTGCACGATGTTCCCTGGGGTTTCTGGGGACATTGAATCGGACCTCGAGGACGTCCTCGAGACACCAATACGCGTCACAGAGGTCCTCCGAAGGCCACCAATGGGCTCCTGAGGCTTCCCGAGAGGCCCCCAGAAGCATCTCAGACGCCACGCGTCTACACCCAAAACGACGTTTCCAGAGCGGTTTCTGGGGACATCGCTTCCGCGCTAGAGGCTTCCCTCGAGATCCCGATGAGCGCCACAGGGGCTTCACGCATACGTCCTACATCACCGTGACGAAAGTTTCTTCGAATCTCCATTCGCTGATAGCACAGCAGGGCGGAGCAGTTCGCAGCAAGAGTACTCCAACTACGCCGCGCGCGGGCGCATCCCGCTCGATACATGACTGGGTGTGGCGCGGGGTAGTTTCCGATCCGGTTCTGGGGTAACAGAGTTATAAGCATCAGGTGGATCGGAAACTACTCCGCCGAATGACGCCATCATCAGGTGATGTGAGGAATATTCAGAGGGATGCGAGACATCTTCGCGACAGCAGGTTGATGAAACTGTGGTCACTGCTGTGCAGTTTTGGTTCTTTTCCCGCGATGCATTCCCAGTGCACGTATCAGTCCAGGCAAGTAGCAATCGAGAGTTAATTGTCGACCGTGGCCCCATTTCGGTCAACGACTTGCTTGCAGGCCTCCCAGAACCTAGCGGCCACGTTCGTCACCGTCTGGGCCTCAGCCGGCTTCAGGACCCCCTTGGCCCTTGCGGTGTAGGCCGTCTTTCCTAGAGGCCGGTTTTTTTTGCGCAAGTCCTCCAGGTCCATCGAGCGAAGTTTCTCGCGAAGCCAGACCCACAACATCTCTACTGGGTTCATAGTGGGGCTCTTGGGAGGAATGCTTCAAAGAGCAAAGCTCATCGTCCTGTAAGCCTTCATGCTGATCTTGGCTATCAGATATCTTCGTTGTCGCAGAGGAGGGTCCATGGGCTTCTCTTCTTCTTGGGGCTCAGCGCGCGCAGCGTGGCGGTCACCTTCCCGTCCCTCACTGACCGGGACCAATCCTCTTTGTCCGTCTTCTTGCTGTCAGGATGCCAGAGCACCGCGGCGAAATCGTCCTTGGACACGCCGACCCATTGAGGAATCGCCCTCGATAGCGGGACCTGCTTGTCGTTGTCATCGCCCCCCCGCCAGCGCAGGCGAGTTCGCTTCGGTGTTCCTCCTCCACGCGTGCGCTGCACAGCCCCAGCAGTAGTCAAGACGCTCCGACTCCTCGCCGAGCCGCATGGACAGCGCGACTCCGTTCATGGACATGTCCAGCCTCGCGCGCAGGTCCTTCTTGCTCAGGCAGAGCGCAGCCTTGGCGAACGTCATCCCGGCCTGCTTCTGGTCGGCGTCGTGCCTCCTCGTCTGGTTCTTGGGTGGCCATTGGTTACTCCTGCTTCGCAGAAGCTTGCGGACTGTAGAATCCCCCTCCGTGATCTTCATCTCTTTGGCGAGGTCCGCCTGCAACGACACGGAGCTGACGATCTCGCAAGTGCGCCGAGCGAGCAACCGACGCACGAGAAATTGTTGGACCTCTTTTGTCATCGTCCACGGCTTCCGCCCGCATCGTTTATTTGGCGACGCTAGAGCTTTGCATTGCCTCGTGGACACAGGCCCACGAGGGGTGACCCCCGCTGACGTTGACAAGTTTCCCCGATATTGTCTCCCAAGACTGTTTGTCTACGTGTCGCAACAAGTACGTTCCCGCTGGTTCGCGAAATCCCCAGAGCCTCTGCACCCTTGCTTCCTAGTGATGGCCATGATGGCGCCAGGAGAACACCAGGATGGCCCCAATCAAGGGAGGAAAAACCACGAGGACCAGATAATTGGCGCTTGCTAAACGGCCTTGGGCGTTTACGAAACAGCCCTGCCCTGCTCGACTCCTTCCTTGTGTGCGTTTAAACGGCCTCGCTTGTCGGGGTGGTTCTTTAGTGCCGCAGGGTCAGCGACTCCATCGTCGGTCTGGGGCCTCCGGACTCTTTTGGCCCTCGAGAGGCATCCGCGGCGACAAAAACATAAAAAAGTATGGGGGTGATGATAGGGGATGGTTCTTATGATGGTTATTCTGGGGGCGATTGGGGTGACTATGGCCATGATGGCCCCAGGAGAACGCCAGGCTGGCCCCCGGAAGCCCCCCCCCCTTCTCCCTCCGCCCCGCCTGGCCCTCGCCCTCCCCCTCGTGCAATGGTGCCAGGGCGCGCGTGCCGCTCGCTTCCGCGGGTAACACTGCATGAAGGCAGAGTTTGGAGAGAGGGGCGGCTGATTGCCACGATGTAGCGGCCTTCGGCCCATCTCGCCACCCTGCCCGAGTCGTGGACCAGAGGCCTCCTTGAGGCCTCCTGGGGGCCTCCTTGGGGCTCGGCGCCTGGGGCCTCTCGGGGTCCCGCTGGCGGTATCTGCCCGTCTCGGGAAGTGATCCTGGGGTCATCCCGGGGGTCTCGGCCAAGAGCCTCTCGGGTACCGTCTTGGGGCGGTCATCGAGGCCTACGAGCGCCTCTGACCATCTTAGGGCATGTTGGAGGCTTGGACTTTTGGCCATGCTCCCGAGGCCTCTAGGAAGTCTGGGGATCTGGAGCCAGGACAGAAAAACATCCTTCAAGAACCTGAGACTTTCCGCCGACCAAACTGAAGAACATTCGAGGGTACCCTCCCCCAGGGTGCACAATAAGAGTACCCTCCCCGAACCAACCTCGACCTCATACCTCGGTCCGACCGTACAGCACCCAATGCCGACGACTCCAGGGGACCTGGGGGCACTTCCTCTTGGTGCCTGACGCACGGTGGCGGAGATTCCCCGCGAGGGGAGTTGGGTGGGGACAGGCGTGCAGCGTACGGTCGGACCGAGGTATCGAGGTCGATTCGGGGAGGGTGCCCTCATGTTCTCCGTGTTTGTCGGATGCCCTAGTGCATCCCGGGGGAGGATATATTCGAATGCTCTTCAGCTTGGCCAGCGGAGGGTCTCACGTTCTTGAAGGGTGTTTTTCTGTCTTAGGTTCGGCCGTATTCCCAGCGATAGGAGCTGGTGGGGACAGGCGCGCAGCCTATGTGAGATTGAAAGTTGTTGAGGACAGGGGCGCTACGAGAACGGAACGGGCGGGATCTACATTCATGGCCCTGTTCCGTCTTTTTTTGTGTCAGCGATTGTTTTGGAGGAGTGTGCGTCATGTGCCAGATTGCCGATTGAGACTGAATCACGTATCAAGCGCAGGAGATTTTGACTCCTACTTTGTGACCGCATTCATCTGCCAGCGCCAGAGGCGCTCTAGGCTTTGCCGACAGAACGAGAAAGAGAAAGGGAATCGGAGGTTCACACCTCTTGCACAACATTATTGCGGATTGTCCTGCAAGCTGTGCCAGCCGGAGGCCTATGATCTCAACACGCCGCCGCATGTTGTATTACGAAGGCCTTACGGCCGGTTCCGCCGACACTGAAGGCGGTCGATGACGACGTCGACGCCGACGCCGACGACGACGACGACGACGACGCCGCATGTTGTATTGCCTTACTTTTCCTTCCCCTTACCAATTCCCCTACAATCTTCCTCGCTTGCTCCTCGGGTACCTCGCTTTCTGTCGCTCGTCCTCTATCCCTCCCTCCCTCTTCTTCTGCCCCTGTTGGCACCATCTCGTTCTCTCCCTGCCTCGCCTCCACCTGTTCTCAGTCGACCTCCTCTCCCTCCTCCCCCTCCGCCCCTCCCGCCTCTACCTCCTCTGCCTAATTCCCCTCGGAATGTAAGTCCCACCAAACATTTCCCGCCCAGCATTCCATTGGATCGATGCCGAATCGAAGCTGAGCCGCCCTTCTCCTCCTCCTCCTCCTCCTCCTCCTCCTCCTCCTCCTCCTCTTCCTCCCCCTCCTCCTCCCACCTACTGTCCTCTGCTTCCCTTGCGTTTCGGCTCTTTCCCTTCTCCTCATATCTACATTCCTCCTCGTCCCTTGCGTTTCGGGTTTCGGCCTCCCCCTATGTTATTTTTCTCGTCGCTGCAGATTATATTTCTACTCGGTTGTTTTCGGATGTGTCTACTCCTCCTACTCCTGTTGCCCACCTGCCTCTCGGTGTCCGTCGACTTCATCTCTCTCCTCCCCCCCGTCATCTTCGCCATCTCTGCGCTCCGACCTTGATTCCCCTCGCTGCCCAGCGCCGACCCCCCTCCGCATCGAGGGGGGGCCACGAGGGGGCGCGCGGTATCGGAGCCATCGCCTCCCAGTGACACGGGGTGGAGGAGGGAGGAGGAGAAGGAGGAGGAGGAGGAGGAGGAGGAGGATAGAGAAGGAGGAGGATAGAGGAAGAAGGCAGGAGGAGGGGGGGGGGGTGAGGAGGAGGGGGGAGGGGAGGAGGAGGAGGAGGAGGAGGAGGAGGAGGAGGAGGAGGAGGAGGAGGATGAGGAGGAGGAGCGTTTAGGAACGTTTATTTCAATCAGAGGCTCAATTGGACCACGCACCCCAGACGAAGGAAACGACCGCCACGCAGGCACCGAGGCCCCAGCGTGGCCCTCACTCCCCCCGCCTTGGCTGCGCCGCCCTTCTGGGGACTGGTGCAGGCTCGGGCTCGGTTCGAGAGCTTCGACAGCAGCCTCCGTCGCCTGCTCGCCGTGTGCGGCAGCAGCGAGGAGGGCTTCCTGGGCACGGAGGGTGCCTCGAGGCGGGCCTTCCCGACAAGGGTGCAAGCCCCTCCGAATTCAATTGATATTCTCCTTGCCACCTCGATTCTCACCCCGACACGGACGACGAAGGTGGCGGGCATCGCCGCCATTCGCGATCGAGGTATATAATCCACACCGTGCACAATAGGTGATGCCATGGATCGGGACAGCATGCAAGACATGAGAGACGTGGAGGTCCAGGGCTCCTCTCCCTCCTTTCTGCAACTCGCTCGCGGCCACAGGCACGGGCGCACCGCCACGAGCCTCGGCCGTCGGCCCTTCATCGTCGGCGGGGGGCCTGAGCATGCACGAGGTGGCCACGAAACAGAGCAGCTGGCTCTGGCCGACCACGCACAGGCAACGAGTGCAGACCCATCGTTCAGATCCACACTGCTGCAGCTCGTGCGACGAGGAGGCGCACGCCACGGCGGCAGCAGAGCGAGTCGGCCGACGCGGCCCCAAGCAGCGAATTCCACGCAGCCGGTCCGCCTCAGCTGCGAGCTCTAGGGTTCTGCAGGCACGTCTGCGGACCATGCGGGCCTCTGTGTCCACGACGTCGGTGTACGTCTCAGCCCCCGCGAACCCAAGCCGCCAGCAGGCCGCCGCAGTCGCTCTCGCGAGCGCATCGGCGGCAGCGTTGCCAAGCGCCCGCTCGAGGTCCGGCTCCGTCCTGAGCAGCTGCAGGTGCTCCTCCTCGTCCGTGTGCGCGGGCACCCAGACAACCTCGATCGCGCCAGGGGACCTGCGGCACCGCGCCTGACGTGCGCGCTGCCAGAGGTCTTCGTTGGCGCCGTCAGGCTGGACGGTCGCCATCCTTCGCTCCCAGCACCGCATGAGGGGCTCGTGATCAGTCACGTACCTCAGGTTCCCTCCGACGGACTCCAGCGCCAGCATGAAACCGAGAATCTCCGCACGCGGCACCGTCTGCCGTCTGCCAGGAACAGGCACAGCGCGGAACCAACGCAACTTGGTCCACAACCCTTTCTCGTCTTGGCCCATGACCACGATGCTGGTCGCACAGCGTCTGCGCCTCGGGTCGTCGGAGTGCTTCCCGCCAGAGCCATCCCTGTAGACCACCACGAAGCCGCCCTCGCGCCTCGCAGCCTCCAGGGTGTCGACCGTTCCGAGGGACACCGCGGCCTGCTCCACCCTCTGGTCGCAGAAGACGGGGGTGGTCAAGCTGGAGGCGGGCACCGTCGCAACCACATGGCCGGCGAGGACTCATGTCCAGCATGCGGCCGGCAGCGCCCGATGCACTAGGGCAGCCGTGGACTCGAACTCCTCGCCCACGTTCGCCGGACACTGCCAGATCCTGTGCGCCAGGGTCTCGTCCGCACAACCGCACCCCGCGCAGCCCTCGTGTTCCAGCACGTAGCCAGCAGCAGCGCGACGGGATCTCGCCCACTGGCCGCCAGAGAACAGCGAGGGTGAGACCCCACTCGGCATGGCGAGCCTCGCGCTCCAGCTTCCTGAGCTCGCGACCGATGTGCAGGAAGTTCGCGCCGCCGACAAGGTCGTCCCCATTGTTGGCGTCGGCGGTCCTCCTCGACGTCCTGAAACACCCCGCCGAAGCCGGCGCGTGCGTGGAAGCTGTCGTCGTCGGCGCCAGCCAGCCCCCACTCGTCCACGCTCTCGGCCGTCGGACGAACCCAGACAGAAGCCGCGCGCGGGTCCCGGCCCATGTCCAGCAACGTAGCTTGCAGCGCGCCCATGGGTCTTCGAACCCGCTTCCAGCGCCACTTGCCAGCGCATCCATCGTAGGGCCCCGAGGACCCTCGGCCAGGCGCGCCTGATGCGACCATGCAGCGACGGGTCGGAGAACCAGAGACTGCACCGCGACGCCACCAGCTGCACACGCAGGGCGATGAAGGGGTCGAGCAGCCCCACCGTGGCCGCCAGCACGGAAGCGAGGCAGCGTCCGCGGGCCGTTCCGCCCACAGCATGACCTGCCCGTCGTCGTAGTTGACGCACCGGACCAGGAGGTGCGCGGTTGACCCGGTGGTCGTAGGCCGACTGCGGCAGCGCGCCCGTGGTCCGCGACCCACGGCCTTCCGTCAGTGTGGCAGTGGCCCGTCGCAGCTTCACGATGGGCCTCCATCGTCGGGCCCCAGCAGTGATGTGAGCCGACGCCTTGGTAAGCGCCCTGCGACGCCCCGAGGCTGCGTCAGTGCTGAGGTCCACCGCCGCGTCGGCCACCGAGTGTAGGATACCCGCGGCCTCGAGACTGCCCGACAGGTTGGCTGCCAGCGCGCTGCTGGACGCCGCGAGCACCGTCTGGGCCGAGCAGATGAACCCCTGGTCTTCCATGCCATCTTGGAGCGCCTTGCAACGCGAGGAAGCTCCTTCTCCGCGGCGCTGGCCGACCCCTCGCAGCAGATGACCGCGTCGTCGATGAAGCTCTTTGGGCCAGCTCTCGGGCACATCACGCGCGCCCGCTGCAGGAGCGGGCTGATGTAGCTTGCCGAAGGAAACCCCGTGCGCCGAGCCCGCCACGACAGAGCGGGTCGCCTCCGCCTGCACGGAGTACCCGTGGTGGCAGCCCTTCAGGTCGCGCGGAGCCAGGAACGGCTGAACCTCCAAGGCCACCACCACAGCGGGGCACCGCTGCCGCTCCGCGGCGGCCATCAGCTTGACCAAGGACACCGTGTCGTAGAAGGTCTCCACGTCCAGCGCGAGGGTAGCGGCCGCCGCCTCCAGCTCGACGCCAGTCTCGTGGAGCAGGCTGCGCGCCAACTCCGCTCGCAGCGCGCTGGGGCCACGGACTGCGGTATCCCAGAAAGCGCCGAGCTCCTCAGTCCAGGTTGAAGTGACCGCTGAGCGTGCTCGGGGTCAGATCTTGGGCACCAGCGGGAGGAGGCGGAGGCCAATGATGCGCTCGCCACCAGCCTTCTTGGGGGAGAGCGCCACTGATGGCGCCCATAAGCCGACGTAGCCAGCAGCACCTCTCCTCGCAGCACGTCAGCAGGGACCGCAGCTCTTCGCGACTCTCGGGCGGCAGCCTCTCGAGGTCGTCCGAGCCGAGGCCGTCAACGCCTCTCGCCTTCCTGCAGCCTTGGACCCGCGCGGCCAGATCGATACTGTTGCGCTCGAGGGGCCCCAGCGGGGACCCCCTGGCCCGATGCCTTCTTGCCTGGAGGGCCGCTATGCGGTCAGGCCAGGACTCCGAGCGATCACACCACGTGGCACTTCAGCGCGCGGCCTTCAGGCGCATGACGTGGCTGGGCTCCGTCACGGGGAGACCATCCCCCACCGGCTCCTGCGCCGAGGGAGCGGGGCCACGCACCCATCTGCGAAGGACGCCGGACTTCTCCTTCCACATTTTGCGCGCCCACGATGCGAACTCACGGCGATGCTGGCCCGCGGCGCGCGCCTGCGCGGCGGTGCCGAAGCGCTCCGCCACGGTCACCATGGCGCCAATCTCCTCGGTGGGTATCTACAGGGCGCCGTTGACCATGATATCCCAGGCAGGAGGAACCTCGGGCCCAGCCGAGCGAGGGAAGGGGGCCACCGTGTCCATCAGGATGTTGGCCGCCTCGCGCAGCAGCACATCCAGACAGCGCTCAAGCTGGTCGCCGTCGCTATCTGCGTTCCTCCGACGGATGCATGCGATCTGCTTCAGCACTCCCAATGCCACCGCACAGTGCACTGCCGCCTGGTGTCGCAGATGCGCGCGCCCAGGAGATGGCTTGAGCGGGGGCCGGCAAAATCGTAGCCAGCAGCACGACCACGACACCGACCGCGCTCACAGACAGGCACCTTGCTAGCATCCAAAAGCACATCCTCGGCCCTGGCGACCCAGTTGGCGTGGCGCGCACTGATGAAGGCCTCGTCGCCGCCCGCCATACAGACCAGGCGGCGCGTGCTCAGCAGCTCCATGGTCTCGTTCCGGTCAGCACGCGCGGGTGCCGAACCCGCAGAAAGCCAGGCCTCGGACTGCACAAAGTACTCAGTCGGCTCACCACAGGCTGACCCATTAGGCGGCCTCCTCGCCGCCAACGTGATCAGCTCGTGCACTGCAGGGTCGGCGTCCAGATGCCTGCTGCCCTCGACCAGGTTGGAGGGTGGCGCTGACTCCTGCCGCTTGCTGCCGCAATTTATCACAGGCTGCGGCCAACTGTCTGACCTGCGACTTGTGCCTTGGGGGGCAGCCGCCCGCGGCCCCCCCGGGCCGCGCCCGCAGCCCGCGCGAGCAGCCACCAGCCTAGCCGCGGCAAGGCCAGGCTGCCTGGGGCCTCGCGCGCAGCCCAGCACCTCCTCGCCCGCGGCGAAGAAATCCTCGCCAGGCCCGCAGTCCTCATGCCGCCGCAGCCCGGGCGTCCTCCTCAGCACGCGTGGCCAGCAGCTCGGCGTCCGCACTGGTTGGCCTCTCGCTGCGCACGTCGAGGTCATTGCGCTGGGCCTTGGCGCCTCCCTCCAGGCTGGGGGGGGGGCACCGTCAGTTCACGTCGGTCGCTGCCGCAATTTATCACAGGCTGCGGCCAACTACCTGACCCGCGACATGGGCTTTGGGGGGCAGCGCCCTGCGGCCCCCCCAGGCCGCGCCCGCGGCCCGCGCCAGCAGCCTCCAGCCCGGCCACGGCGGGGTCCGGTGGGTTGGCGCCAGTGGCGCCACGCAGAACGTCCATGCCCTCGCCGAAGAAGCTTCGCCAGGGCCGCAGTCCTCCCATACCGCCGCCGCGCTCGCCTCGATCTCCGCGCGCGCGGCCAGCAGCGCGGCATCCGCCTCGGACTGCATCGCCGAAAAGTCGGTCTGCAGGTGTGCCGCCAGCTCGTCGCGGCAGCGCGCCGCTTAAGCTGGCCTTTGACTCTGGGTCGGGCTGCTGACTGGGCCCCGGCGGCGTCGGGAACGCCGGCGGAACGACAAGTCGCCGACGCACCCATCGACGCCCGCCTCTGGCGACCCGCAGCCGCAGCCCCGCGCGCGCCTGCCAGGGCACGTCTAGCACCGCCTCCAGCTCGCCAAGGTCACTTGCGCCGTGCGGGAGCAAGCCGTAGTCGATGAGCTTGCCACTGCCCTTGAAGCAGGTGGCCTCCGGGTCGCGGGTCAGCAGCAGCTCGCCCTGCACCTTCTGCGGGAACCCCGTGCGCATGAGCTCCTCGGGCGTCGCATTCCAGTCCGCCAGCGCGACCCACGGGTCCGCCAGTCTGGCCGAAAAGGCGGCCAGCGACTGGAACCGGCGGCGGTCGGCGCCGTCCATGCCACAACCAGAGAAAATATGCAGTCACCATCGCAAGATTGCCTTGCTTGAGATGCATCGCCAGCGGCGCGAACCCGTCGAGCCGCGCCTCTGGGAGGCCCCTTCTGGGCGGCGGCGGCCAGGTGGCTGAAGGAGGAGGTCGCCATGTCACACCTGGCCGCGATCAGCTCACCCCCTCTCGCACCAGTGCTCGACTTCGCCGAGCCCGCAGCCGCAGCACCAGACGCCCGCCAGCCCGAGCGTGACAGGTTGCGCACTGCATCCACGTTCTTCACATCGTTGAGATGAGTCTCAACAGCTGGCATCACTCCGCACTCGTTGAAATGCCCCCCGAAGTGCCTTTCCGCCCGGGGGCCCCAGCGCTCAACGTTGGCGAAGAGCGCTGCGGGGCCCTTGGGCCCGAGTCAAGGACGTCCTCGGGCCTTCACCTCCTGGGACGGCGGCTCCGACACCGCTACCGCCCCCCCCGGGACCTGCGCCTCGCGCAGGTCAAACACGTGATTTCGACTTGATACTGTTGCCGCCCAGCACGGCGGCAACGATTGTATAGCACTGAATACACAATACGGATTGTATTACACTGAATACACAATACGTTCTTGAGCCAACAGCCCTCCGCTACCCGTTACTACTCGCAGTTGCCGCAATGGTGGCTGCGTCTCCCCCCCGCCGCTTGGGGCGCCAGCCGACGCCTCCAGCCCGAAGAACGAGCAGATAGACGACGACGTCCTGTCCTACCATGCGGTGCTGCACCTTGAGTGCTACGTCGAGATGGACCTCGACGGGAACCACGCTGAGGAGCCCCTTCCCGACCTCGACCACCGCCAGGACACCGAGTACGCCCTCGGCCTCGACCGCTACCTCGGCGCCCACGTCCAGCCCCAGTGGACGAAGGACCAGGACTACGTCAACAGGACCAGGACAAGGGGTTACGGCAACAGGACCAGACATATTCCCGAGGGGTGCGCGGGACAAACGACCTGGGGGGCCGATGGGGGGCCACCGTTCTGCATGGACCCCCCCCCGCCGCAATTCCAGGGCCCCTCGCCCACCTCCGGCCATCTCCATCGCACCCCACCGCCCCGTCCTTTCTCGAGCCGCCCAGTCAGGGAGCCTGCAGGACTGTCGGACTCTTCTTTGGAAAGGGCGACCTCTGCGGTGCTGGGCGCGGGCTCCGGGTACATGATTGACAGCACGGACACCGGCGCCGACGCCAGCTCAGACGCCGTCATCATCGACGCTAGCATCACCGACGCTGGCACCGACGCCAGGACAGTCGTCAGCACAGTTGGCAACATCATCACACGCACTGACGCCTGCATCCACGACAACACCGACGCCTGTTCCCGAGGCACAGTCGACGCCAGGGCCAACGGCTGCACCCACACCAGCAGTGACGCCGACCATGATGCTGCCAGCGCTGGCACCATCACCATCGCTGCCAGCACGACCATGCAGATTTTCGCGAAGACGCTCACAGGCAAGACCCTCGCGCTCGACGTGGCGGCTAGCGACGCGATCGACTACGTCAAAGTGCTGATCCAGGACAGGGAGGGCATACCCCCTGCCTGTCAGCGCTTGCTCTATGCAGGACGCCAGCTGGAGGACGAATGCACGCTGTCAGACCTGCACATCTCCCACAACGCGACCCTGTGGCTGGTACTCTGGCTCCGGGGTGCTGGGCCGGCCACCCTGTTGGCAGGGATCCCGGACTCAGGTGGAACTTCTGCGTCTGCCTCCAGCGCTGCTGCCGCCGGGGTTGCCGCGCCGCCCCACGGCGCGCCGAACGGAGCAGCGGCCAGCACGAACTTCGACACCACCCTGCAGGACATCTTGGAGGACGGCGTCTGTCAACAACAGAAATGGATCCAGGCGGCTATCGCGGTCGGCGGCAACCTCCGCCTCCCCGGCATCCGGGAACTCGAGGCAGCCACGGACATCCAACCTCTACGCAAGTTGCTCTCCGCCTACGCGTACGACGTCGACGGTACTTCCGGCCTCGACAAATTGGGCCTGGCCGTCAGCGACGGACCGACTCTTCGATTGGAGGACGTTGAGATGCGCGGAGCGTGGGCGATAAAGCTTCTGGACCGGTTCGGTGGCACCAATGCCGCCCTGAAGGACACGTCGAAGGACCTCCGGGATAGCTTCCAGCTCGCCGTGCTGGACGCTAAGGACAACCTCGAGATCCACCTCCGCGCACGCCGTCTCCTCAAAGGGGTCCCCAAATCCCTTCCCCACTGGCAGGAGGCCGTCGCCGACCTCCTGGAGCACCTCTGCACTGGCGGGACCCTCCCAACAGACACCCAGGTTGCATTTCAACTGAGCAACATGCTGCGGCGCGAAGGTAGTCCTCGCCGGCCTCCCCCATGTCGGCGAAGAGAGACGGGTCGAGGTTGAAGGAGAGGCGTTCGGGCAGTGCGTGCTCGGACGGGCCATCCTTCCCCGCCGCCGCCGCGACCGCCGCCTCGTGCTCCATCGTCGCCTGGAGGTGCTTCTCCGTGAGATCGTCGAGCCGCGCCCGGATCTCTTGCACCCTGTGCTTCGCTGTCGCCAGCTCCCAGCCTCAGCGCTCAACCTTCTTGTCGATCTGCTCCTGCTTGAAGGAGGCCGCATTGAGCCGCTCAGCCGCCGCCAGCGACGGGGGCTTGGCAGCTGACGTCGGCGGCGGTGGGCGACTGGCGAAGTGCTGCCGGAGCGCTTCCACGGCCTGGCCCAGCGCTTTGTCGCTGCCGACCAACTTCTGGATGCTCGAGACCACCTGTCCTTGAGTCGACCACCACGGCGGCGACGTCGACTGCTGCTGCCTGCGGCCAGGGAGGCCGACCCAGCTGCCGCACTTGCACCGGCTCTTCTGCTTCCAGAAGCGGTTGTTCCAATCCCAGTACCCGCAGGCGCTGCGCACCATGTATCCCCTGTTGCCATGGGACCTGGTCATGGGTGCTATTGCAGGAGCTCGCGAAAAGGTACCAAAAGCAAGCTCTTTGGCTGCCGCGGCCTAGAGGTATCCCTGCGTGGTGGGGAAACCCCGCGCCACAAAGCTCTTCAACCAAAACGGCTACGGAAGAGGAGGAAAAGGAGGAGGAGGAAAACGAGGAGGAGGAGGAGGAGGAGGAAGAGGAGGAGGAGGAGGAGGAGGAGGAGGAGGAGGAGGGGGAGGAGGAGGAGGGGGAGGAGGAGGAGGGAGGAGGAGGAGGAGGAGGAGGAGGAGAGGAGAGGAGGAGGAAAAGGAGGAGGAGGAGGAGGAGGAGGAGGAAAAAGAGGAGGAGGAGGAGGAGGACCAGCGTAAACCAAAGAGTCCTCAACGATGTTAGAACAAACCCTCCCTCCAAGCTCACTTTCCGTAGGCCCCAACAACGGTTCATATCTACAGAAGGAGCTGACTCGTTGGAAGACAACCGTTTGAAGACCCTGAAGCGTGCCAAAACATTGTTCTCGGGATCCCAACGCTGCGGATCAACTCGATTGTTGAGTCTAGACATCCGGAATCGTGCCGGAACGCCATTCCTGGGACAACAACGCCGCGAAGCAACGTAACTGCTGCACCCTCCTAATCCTGATTCTTTCCAACACACCATATTTGGTACGCCGATCATGGGAATCCGTGATACTCTTGCATTGTAGAACAAAAATGCGCGGCGCTAGTGCGAGAGCTACATTTTGAAAAGGATCCGCCCTCAATCCGTGAAGCTCTTGCAATTTTTATAACGAATGCACGCGGCGCTAAGGCGAGAACCACATTTTGGAAACGACCCGCCCTCAATCCCTTAAGTTCTTGCAATTGATTACAACGAATGCGCGCGGCGCTAAGGCGAGAACCACATTTTGGAAACGACCCGCCCTCAATCCGCGGAGCTCTTGCATTTGCATTTAAAAAGTAAAAGAAAAAACACGAGTGTGCGCGGCGCTAAGGCGAGAGCCACAGTTTGAAAACGGACCGCCATCAATTTGTGAAATTGTTGCTACGTTTTAAGCTTCTGGGTCAGAAATGATGAGGAGGTCTCAGGCGAAACGCCCAGCCCGCCCTAAAAACTGGCCTCGGGGTGCAACAGGGAGAATTCATTCATAAGGAAAAAGAGTTGAAGAGGAGGAGGAGAAGGAGGAGGAGGAGGAGGAGGAGGACCAGGAGAAGGGGGAGGAGGAGGAGGAGGAGGAGGAGGAGGAGGAGGAGGAGGAGGAGGAGCAGGAAGGAGGAGCAGGGAGGAGGAGGAGGAGGAGGAGGAGGCGCCCAGCGGGCGATATGACCCACGGCTGCGCTCTGCTCGATGCGATACAGCAGCGGCGGGGCCTTGGATCCCCCCAGTGATTCATCATCGAATGGGCATCTGGCGGTCAGAATTACTCATTTTCACTTGCGTTCCCTCCTCCATATCCTTCCCTGGTCATCCTCCTCGTCGTCGCCCTCCTTCGCTGAGGCCCACCGGTCAGAATGCCACGCAGCCGAAGCTGAAGTTTGTGTCTGCCATGACGCACAGAGCGGGCGAAGGCGGTGCAGTTGTCAACGGCCGAGGCAGCGAGAGGGCGAGGCTGAAAACTGGAACGCTTCGGTGCCAGACTGCCTGGCAGACGGAACTAGGGGTTCAGGAGTCTACCGCAAGCTTGAAGACGGCATAGCATCATCATGATATGGTTTTCTGATTTGGATTTCGACGGGTATCCTAGAAGCAGCCTAGCTGTGTGTGTGATCAATAAGGGGGAACCTCTTCCAGAGGGCTGGTGCATATGTCCCCACCTTTTCGATCCCTGCCCGCGTAGTTCCTCATTTGGACGTAATCATCTGTCCACAACTGCGTTCGTGGATCCGTTTGGACATCATTCAGCTCGTTGAGAGACTGAGGTAGCCTCACTCTCTGCAGCTGGATGCGGCAAACCCCGCCTCTGTGCCAGCGCAGCAAAGACACATGTATGCTAGACGGTTCTGCCAGAACCATGTCTGGGCCGTCTAGTCGGGTTTTGTCGTCGTTTCCCTGTCAGAGCTTGCACTGAAGGGGCTCTCGGGGATGTTGCAAGAACTTCGCGAGAGCACTGGGCCGATTTCGGTGGCCGGCCAGGTTCCCAGGTTCCTGGTTAAGGGTCTTGGGTTGCTGGCTTTTGGGAGATTTGGCGACGGTATGCTGCCGATGTTTGTGGGCCGCCGCGTTCCTGGGTCCTTGATCCCGGGTCGTAGTGAAAGTTTCCCGCCGATTTTGGTACCGAGTTCAAGGGTTACCAGAGTAGAGAATAGAGAGAGAGAGAGACAGAGAGCAAATATTAGTGCAGAGTGAAATCGTATAGAGCATCTTGTTTGTAGCAGAGAGTAGAGGGCACTGGGCAGAGTTCAGAACTACGAGAGCACATAGTAGAGAGTAAAGAGTGGAGAGGCGAAAGTGGAGAGTAGATGCTATCGGCTGGAAGGTATCTAATGGCCTTCGGCCCGTCCCGTCACCGTGCCTGGGTTGCGGGTCAGAGTTTTCAGGGATGCTTCTTCGGGTCTCTTCGGAGCGCTCTCGGGGGCGTCTTGGGAGCAGTTTGGAGGCCTCTTGGGGGCCTCTGAGTGGCCTCTTGGGGCTTCTTGGGGCCTCCCAGGGGCCTCTTGGGGCCGTCTTTGGGCCCTCTTGGGTCGTCTTGGGAGCCTCTTGGGGCCCCCTGGGCCCACCTTGAGGCTTTTTTTTGGCCCGAAAAAAGTCACGCGAGAAGATGCGAAGAGCCCCCGACGAGACGCGCCAAGCCCGGGTAGATTTGGAGGCAGTCATGAGGGCGGTTTGGGGTCGTCCTGGGGATCCTTTGGCCCTATACATACATACACACATACATACTTACATACGTACATACAGACAGACAGACATGTGTGGCCGTTCTTATGGAGGGTCGTTGCACTAGTGCTGCCCCTGGAAAACAATTGATATTGAAAATGCGTGATAGCGTGCCAGTGGCATGACCGAAAGTCAAAATACCAAGTGCTGAATCATGTGTGGACAATTCGCGTTGTCACAGCACTTGAATGCTGTTTGGCACACGGTTGCTCGTTGCTCGTTGCAGCATCCGGTCTGCAATGTAGGTGCATGTCATTTTCCGTCGCACCGCTAGCATTCCCTGGTCAGCACCCTCCGGGGCCAGGTGTTACAGTTCAGCTCAAACATAAGTAGAGTCGATAGGGGTACACATTGGGCTGACTGACCTGCCGCCGACCACGGAGTTTGTCGTTGACCGAGCACGCGAGATGAGAGCTTCGAGGTGCCAATTTTGGTGTGGGGGTTCACAGGAGGTCTTGATTTAAGAAGCACGGGGAAGACCGAGTGCAGGGTGAGATGTCGCGAGGGTTTCGCATTGCATGTAGCACTCGCGTCCTCGCCCCAACTTTGATCGCGTACCCACCGTCGCATTCGGGGGGCCTTCTCTGGATGTTCTATGCCCCATCCACCGTAGACGTTGATGACCTCCACCGGAAACCGTCGGAGACATCGGTGATGCCATGTGTTCCAGATTCCAAATAATCTAAGGATTCGGAACCCAAAACAGACGCATCTTAGGCTCGATTCACTGGGGGAGCAGCAACCAGTTCCCAAGAGACTGAACTGATACAAGAAAAGAGCGGGCACACACGCACACACCAATTTTTCGCGTCGGCGGCCAGGCAGAGGTTACTGCTCTGGCGATCGGGCATCAGTGGGGCGCGTCAGATGCAAAAGCACACAAACACACAAGCGCACACACAAACACACAACACACAAACACACACACACACACACACTTCTGCGTCGGCGGCTGGGCAGGGGTCGCTGCTCCGGCGATCGGGCATCAGTGGGGCGCGCTTGATACAAAAACACACGGACGCACACACAAACACACAAACACACACACACACACACTTTTTTGCATCGGCGGCTGGGCAGAGGTCACTGCTCCGGCGATCGGGCATCAGTGGAGCGCGCTAGATGCAAATTGGGCCGCAATGCACACACACAAACACCAGCCGCTGCACAGCGCAGAGGTCGGACGTAGTGGCCGACAATTGGACCTCCTTGTCGCACACTTGGGCTCCCATCGCAAGACTCGTCAGGGTGGATCTAGAGTCCGATCTTGATTGGGCTTGGGCTGTGGACGACGATCAATGGAGAGGAAGCATGTTGCCAAATAATTGCCAGATGTCTAAAACATGATTTAACATGTCTTGAACATGTAAAACGCATGTTTTGAACCTGGCTAGAAGATTTTTCATACTTTTAAACACATTTTAAACTCAATGATAGGATTGTTCGAGTGTCCACTGCCATGGCATCCACAAGGCTTGGGCCAGTATTGTTTTTCTCTTGAGGTGCCCTTGCTTGGCCCTTGGGCCTCTGGGGTGCTGCGACTGCCATCCATGCAGTTGCTCGCCAGTGGCGGTCCTGCCACGTGAACCTGCCAGCTCGCTCGCGTTCGCCTTGCCAGGCAGCGCCCAGGCGGTGCCTGCAGACGCTTTGCCCATATCCCTCCTTACTGTACCATCGCACGCCCCGCCCCCACCCTGACGCCGTGCCCGAAAGCCCCACCCCCCCATTACAGCCGGGGCGCTGAAGAAGGAACCCTTTTCGTTTGGGAGGGGCTCCGTGTTCCTCGGTTGTTTTGCTGTTTCCCTTAGGTTTACCTTCGGCTTTCGATCGAAAATCGAAGTTAAGCTTAAGCACGAAGGGGCCTCGTCCCTTACTTAGGGTGCTTCAGGTCAACGCCCCGACTGTATGCCCACGCGTGCCCGTCAGCGTTCCACAGAGCTGTCGCTTTCTTGCCTGGGCGGCTTGCCTTGGCGTGTTGCCAGCCCGCGCCGTGTGCTTCCACGCGCTGGGCCCCTCTGGCCGCGTTCCCCGCTGCCTGCCGCGCCGCATATTCCCAGACCCCGCCGCCTCGCATGCGGACCTGTGCCTCCTCGATTCTCCGCCCTGCCCGTCGTTCCGAGACAGGGGGCAGGGGGTGAGCCTTCATTCAGGGGCCACATGTGAACCCTACCCGTACCCCCCACGATTTCTAAGGGGGGGGGGTTCACTCCGCTCGGGACCTCCCGAACGAAATGACCCCCCCTTAGAAATCGTGGGGGGTATGGGTAGGGTTCACATGTGGCCACCAACTTGATTTCCTTCGGTGCGCCCATCGCGTGCCCCGCTCCCACGCGTAGATTAGACTCCAGGCCATTGAACTCTCTCGCCCCGCTTTGCTAACAAAAACAGGCAGGCCACCCGCACTGGCCATCGCACTTCAATCGCTGGGCCTGGGCCGAGATGGCCATCGCACTTCCATCCAAACCGCCACCGCCTCATCCATCCTGCCCTGGCTGCCAGCCTTCCCTCGCTATCCTCCCATACGCTGCCATTCTCATCCACCCCTCCTGGATTACTACTTTATCGCTTCGCTCATTCCGCCGGCCCGCATTGTGCCATCGCAGGCGTTTGCCTGCGCGTCCGTGGCCTCTTGGGGCCTCTTGGGGGCCGTTTGGGGGCCTCTTGGGGCTTCTTTTTGGGCCTCTTGGGGGCCTCGTGGGGGCCTGGGCTCTCTTGGGGGCCTGGGCTCTCTTGGGGGCCTCTTGGAGCCTCCTTGGGGCCTCTTGGGGCGGAAGGCTCAACTTGGTAGATCGTGGTCCCCCTCTTGGGCCCTTCTTGGGGCCTTCTTGGGGCCCTCGTGGGCGATCTTGAGCGCGTCTGGGGCCGTTTTGGGGCCCTCTTAGGCCGTCTTGGGGCCCTCTTGGGGGCCTCGCGGGCCTTCTTGCTGCGGTCTTGGAGGCCTCTGGGCCCATCTTGGAGCGTCGGACCTCGTCCACCCCTCTTGGATTACTATTCCGTAGCCATTTTGGCTCAAGTTTGGCTCACACGAACCCTTGATATCAGTAGTGTGCAACGGGCACACATCGGCCGATCAGACCGCGCATGCGATACGACGTATATGTTTTCACATGGTTGACAGTTGGGGCCATTGTGCCAGCTCTTCACTTGCGTGAGCAACCTGTCAACACCAGCTCTTGTAGCTCCTCGCTCAAGAATTCCTCAGCGTTCCATAGATATTTCAATGAAGGGTACAGTGCTTCACATATCGATATTTCCGCAGACACGATTTGCCTTCGGGGCACGACGCAATGGGCACAATGGGATTGCAACAATTTCGCACACGTATTTCGTGGGATGGTGGCGCCTGCGTATACGATGTTGAAGCATTATGACATGCTACATCCGTGCGTACGCATAAAGCTCGACAGCAGGTGTGGTGCAAATGCTGCGAAGGATCTACTAGGCATGGTTTTAGAAAACGAAGTTACATTAGGCAGCTGCAATTCGACCACGGACCGCATTGTGGATCTCGACAGCACGGAATATCTGAGCAATGGTGTGTCAGTTTCAATCGGGGATTACACATGTGAGCACATGCCAGGGAAATCGAGCATAAGTATGCATGCTGCTTTTATGTACAGTCATGGGTTGGACAGGGGCGTTGTTCCACGAGCCGACCGGGCAATCAGCGTCCTCTTGAACATTCGGACCGCATCCACTGCTGCCAACAGCAGAGATCTGTTGAATTGGGACAACATCGGCAAGCGCGTTAAGATCGCACTCGCCAAGTTCAGCGTCAATGTGCTGAAGACTGATATTGGGGCACGCACTGTCGTGGAGCAAGCCATTCTTGCAGCCAGCGCCGACTTTCTTATCATGCACCACGGAGCTGCCAATAATCACCGCTATTGGTTGGGTCCTGATTCTGTGCTCGTTGAGACGCAGCCGCCCAAGTCGTGGTTTTGTGGACATGCGTATGGGCATGATGACATTAACTACATTCTATCAACAGATCACAACCAAACCGCAGGAGAATGTGGCGATATACCTGGAGGGGAATATGACGCTACATACCGAGTGAAATACGGGGAGGAAGCTGACGAATGCATTTCCGAGGATTGTACGATGTATTCGAAGCCCAAAGGAGTATTTGCACATCGAAAAGATGTTTCTCGCAAGGCTGACCCAAGTCGATTAATCTCCACGCTTACTTGGGTGCTGGACGGCTACGAGAAAGAAAAACGCACATTCAAACGAAGCTTAGAATCGCTCCGTCTTGCACAGGGTTGGTTGAAGGTCGCGTGCCGGGGTTCAGCGCTGCAGCTGGTGGAGCAATGAATATGTTCAGAGTGAGCCAATCAGTTGTCATATGATGCTTCTCACATACTAAGTATCCTGAATCCTGGGCGCAGGCGCGGCATCTGCCGCGGTTTTTGGAGCAACGTGCTCGCTACCGAGTGTCCTGCGTTGCCCTTGACACTCTTCTCATGTACCCACTCTTTTGAATTATGCTTTCGAGTGTTCGTGGTCTGGACCCCCGTTTCGTCGCTCTCAGACATTCTAGTCGCCACTCTTTTGCACTACGCACTCATGTCTTTCTCCACAGTCAACCCGCGTAGCAAGGATGGGTAACTTTCCCTAGGGTACCCTTGCATCCTTGCCCCTTCGGCCTATAATTAGCGACGTTCACCGGCCAACCTCGTTGGAAAAACGTTCACACGGGCCTCCAAGGCCCTTGCATCCTCACCGCGCATCGTTATGAAACGGGTTGACTGCATACCGCCCCGACCCTTTCAGGCATGTCCGTGGCCAGCCAGGCTGCGAGGGTGGTGCACCCACGGGACGCGGGCGAGATGTTCTGAGACCTGCCCAGGTCCGGCGCCAGGACCGCCGAGGCCTGGAGCGTGCCAAAGTGTGAAAAGGCGCGAAGAGAGGTCGGCAATTCGAGGATACGCGAGGGTTGGCGCGAGCTTGGTCCGACTTGGACTGGACGCCTTGTGTTCAGCCGGTGGGGGCGAGGAAGAGAAGGGAGCGGCCGATGAGAAAACGAGGAGAAGGAGTTCGAGCATTCCGACCAACCTGTCCAGACGGTCGCCCGTCCTCCACCGCGGCTTGGCATGGCATTTCGGGGAGGGCCGACGCTGAGGGCTCGGGGGCCAGTCGTGAGCTGGCCTCTGTGGCAGTACGATCGGACTGAGGTATAAGATCGAGGTCGGTTTGGGGAGGGTAGGGGAGGGTACCCTAATGTTCTTCGTGCTTGTTGAATGAATATTCGCGTACATGCTGGGAGAAAGTACCTTCGGTGATATTATGGTTTGGGGTGTTTTGGCCAGCGGAGGGTCTCATGTTCTTGAAGGGCGTTATTATGTCCTAGGTCTGGCCGTATAGGTTTAGCGCCTTGTGAGGCGCGACGCTCGCCATGAAGAAAACGGGTCCTGAGAGAAACGGGTCGTGAGGCTTTCCGCCGTCTTCGGGGCCCTGGAGCCCTCCACGGGCCCTGGATCGTCAGAAAACGACTCGGGATGGGAAGTTGGTCCTGGGGAAGGCCTCGGGGTCTAGGACCCACCCGTTTCTCAAAAAGGCAATTCTCAGATTGGGAGGATGAAGTTGGGAGAGATGGTCGTATCATATCAACAATATTACCGCGCATGCGGACGGTGTTTCTTACAAAGTCGTACCCTGTATCTTCCCAACCCCTTCCTCCCAACACGAGAACTGTCTTTCTCAGTTTCCCACCGGACCCGTTTCCTTCAGGCCAAGGCGCGGGTGAGGGGTGTGCCGACATTGGCGGGTGAGCGGCATGCGGGCCTTGCCTTTGGGGCCGTGGGTGGAAGTGTGCCGAAGGCGGCGGTGCGGCGTTCAGATTGTGTCGCTGGGGCCGTAGATGGAGCTCCTTGTGAGGCTCGTGCAGAGGGGGGGTATGGGGGAGCGGGGAAGGCTTCTTAGAAGCACCCCTGCTTCTTAGAAGGTGCGGGCCTTGTCTGTAGATGTAGGGCCAGCGCCTTCTAAGAAGCGGACTCCTGCTAAGAAGCTTTCCCCCCTCCCCCTACCCCATTGTGCTCGCCGCCAATCCTTGCGGGGCACTTGCTGTTTCCTCGGTCAGGGTACCCTGGTATCCGCGTTTTTGGAAACAAACGCCCGTCCAATAAAATCGGTAGAGAGAGCGACGCTACCCTCAACGCCCCCGATTTCAAAGTTCAGATTTGCGCGCAGGCCGCAGTTCGCAAAAGTGGGCGTTTTTTTTGTCGAGACGACTTGCAGTCCGTCAACCGCCGCGAACTTTGATGACATTGGGGTTCCAGAGCTTGGCCCCGCTTTATTACATATAATCAAGATGTTTTGTTTTTTGTTTTTTTTCCCAAAACCAGTACATCTTGGCGCATCACAGGTGCCTGGCATCCTCAAATTCAATGTTGGTGGCTGATTTTGATTGTGCGAGATGCACTGGACATGTGGGAAGGCTGTCCTACGAACGTGGCCGGAAAAGTAGACTTACTAGTGCTTTCTTGTTGAAGGCTCCATTTGGTGCCGCACGCATGCTCGCACACTCTGCAACTCCGAGCTGCTTTGCGTTCGTGTGTTTGACAGCATTCATGTGGCCGGCTTTGCTCGTGATTCTCTTGAACACTGTGCGTTGGGGGAGAGAGCGCGAGTTTTTTACGCAGCGGTTTTTGGAAAGGACTATCTTCTGAAACTGTCAGGTCCTGTCTCGCGGAGGGCACGTGAGTGCCCGATTCAGCACGCGGCGTTGCAAATGATTGCTTGCCCAGGGAATAAGAGGAGGAAGTGCAAGCAGCAAAGCTTGCGAGGCACTGATGCACTGAGGGCCATCGGATGACCTTGCTAATGTCCAAACATGCGTTGGAATGTTCGGCAGCCTCTAATAGCTGCCGATGTGTGGCGTCTTTGTTGGTAAACTATCATTTGCCCCCTTCTCTGTCTCCCGGCTCTGTCGGGATTCACTCTTCTTCGCTGGGAGCCGCTGGCAGCTGGCTGGGCGTCGCAGATTTCCAATCATTGTGGGGCGAGTGGGCGTGGGGAAAGCAGACACCGTTCGGCGACAGGGAAGCTTGCGCTTTGACAATGTTTCTCAGCCTTTAGTATGTTATGATGCCTTCCCTTGCTTGCCCTTCCTTGTCGCCACCGTGCGCTGTCTTTCTATCGTTCTCGCCGCGCCAGCAGCTTGCGACCCCTGCGCGCGCAGATGTAAGCACGCCCGGACATCATGCGCATCTGGCTCGCGTGCATTAGTTTCTGTGTTGCCGTCCCCTGCTTCGGGTGGATGGGCACGCCCCCTTTCCATTGAACGCTCCACGTGGTCATATTTAGTCCGCCCTGCCTCATCCTCCTCCTCCTCCTCCTCCTCCTCCTCCTCCTCCTCCTCCGCCGTAGCCATTTTGGCTCAAGCCATTTTGGCTCAAGTAAAACATTTCCCAAGGCAGCTGGCCGTTCAGCTTTGTTCCATTCCATATCTCACAGGACCGTCAGGGCTGCCCAGCCCACGGCTCCGCTCCATATCCGCAAGACGAAGCTCACCTTCGCACAATTACTAATTCGACTAATTCAATTGCAGGCATCTGGATTGGCTCTTCTCTCGCTTGGCATCGGACAGGCAATACGTGGCATAGTGCAGTACAACACTTCCGAATGGACTCCGCCTCCGCTTCATCTCGCAGTGACTCTAAGAGCAGAAGTCAGGCCAGTGGACACCGTCGGGATCGCCGCAGACATTCAGAAAAGGCACGACAGGGACAGAGACCGCGACCGTGATCGACACCGCCGACGTGATAGGGATCGACGCCAACGTACTTCTTCGTCTGAAGGTTCACGCCCTCCGCACAAAGGACACAGTGGACGCTCTAAAGGCCCTCTCGAACGTGAAGCAAATGGCGCCCCTCGTGGATTTCATTCAGCAACCACTCAAGACGCATGGCAGCGAGCAGCACTGGAAGAACTTGATGCAGCACCTACTTTCCCCTCTCAAGAACAAGCTCACTGGCAAGCTCATCAACACGCACAGCGAGAACGACAAGCACGTGAACACCAAGAGGCTCAAGCCGCGCGCGACGCCCACGAAACCGCACAGCTTCCCGCCGCAGCAGAAACCTCTCAACAACAATGGCTTGCTCAACACGCGGCTCTTGCAGCCCAGCAGCGCTCTCCTATTACTACAGCGCCCTCTACCACCGCAGCCAGCTCTGGACGCACGGCACCAGCTGCAGCACCAGCTCATGCAGCTGAAGGCACCGCCACGCCAGCAGGCGGACCGTGGCCTCAATCAACGTTGGACCCAGACATTCAGCGCGAGCTCAAGCAGATCATGGCATCACAAGTGGCAGCAATCAATACCGCAGTTGGAGAAACCGTTTCCGCCTCGCAAACGCAGCTCACTGCCGCTCTACAGCGACACGAAGCAGCTACTACTCGCAGATTGGACGGGCAAGAACAAGACCTCATGGCCATCGAGATTGCTCAAGCCAAACAAGAATCACAACATCAGGAAGTCTGGAGCGCCATCCAGCGTATCAATCAGCAGCTCAGCCTGGGCGAAGCCGGCGCTCCCATCCTGGACATGGCCAAGCTCTCAGACTGGGATCGTGAGCCCGATCCCACCATCTACGTCCTCTCCTCCGCGCAGCCCGTCGACGCTGCCGCAGTTCGCACGTCCATCACAGAACGGTTGGATGCAGCAGAAGTGGCCCCGCAGCAGTTTCAGATTCACGGTGAAGGATCCAATCGGCGCTTCATACTTCAGCTTCTGGGCGGCCGATCTGTCGCCATTTCCAAATCCGTTGCGCTCGCTCGTGCCCTTCAGCTTCCAGGACGCGGAGGTTACAGAAAGTTCACAGTTCAGACCCCCACCAACTGCGTCATCAATCACGGCCAGTACGCCCCGTTCTACGTCAACCCCGATAAGAACATCAAGCGCATCAGAAAGGAAACTCGTACTAAAAAGCCACTCGCTCATTGTCAGACCCACTACCCCACGCACAATTGGCGTGCGCGTCGTGATCAAGGACGTATTTTCTGCAATACCATCCCCACCGCCAAACTGGAGCTCACTTGCATGGACGCGGCAACGGTCATTCGTTGGAATCAAGATGCGCTGGCCAAGGTTCCTATCAACAAAGCCACCATCGCTGCAGACTTTGCCGCTCGCTACACAGCAGAGGACACAGTACAATGGCTTTAACAAACGCTGGTCTCCATGGGGAACTACGACCACAGACGGAGACCATGCCAGACCTCCTGGGCCTGATGCACCGCGAGGACATCGGCCTCATCCTCTTCAGCACCTTCGGCCAGCACCTGACCTCCAGCTTCCTTGCTCTGAAGCTGCGCACGCTCCTCTTCATCCTGAATGTGCTCCACGGGAACCCAGACCAGATCTTCAGCATCATAGAGCACCAGCAGATCTACCTGCACCGCGACGGCAGGCACACGGGGATTGGGACGCCCCTGTTGTCCCCAAGGGACGGGAGAGCCATCCAGATGTTATTTCAAATTTCTCGGGCCTGGAGTGCCCGCCAGATTCGCTTCTTCCGCAACATGATCTGCCTCGTCCCGCGCAAGCTCTACTGCTTCCCGAACAAGATCACATTCTCAAAATAGATATGACTCAGAATGGCTCGGCTTCAACTTTCAGCTCATCTTCGGCTTCTTCGTCATCGTCCTCTTCTAGCGCTTCGTCATCCTCGTCGGACACCAGCTCATCATTCAACAACCGTCGGTCTCGGACTACTCGTACACGTACACGCCCTTCTACAGCTGGTACGGCAGGCAGCTACATCTGTTGGAACGCTCGCGGGCTACTCTGTCATGAAGATGCCAAACGCTGGGGAAAGATACGGCAGCTCGTTCCCTTCATGCGCAAGCAGTCGCTCATCGCTCTCCAAGAGGTGCACAGCACACAGCTCGATCTCGAATCA